ATATCCAAAGAAATACATCTTATATTTTGTATTAAATTTTCATTTATATAACTTACTTTTAACTTTAACATTACACATAGTGCCCTTACTAAAACGAAGCTTGAGAGCCTGCTAATTTATGATTTAGTTCCGCAGATTGCAGAATGTCGAAAAAGGAAACAGGCAAGTAGTAAAAAATGTAAGCGGATAAGAAAAATTTGGAAATGTTTTTTTTTATCGTTGAATAAGTAGAGTTTTAGGATAGAGTGCTGTACAACAACACTCAGCATATTGTCAGCTCTTGCAACAGATTGCAATATGTAGAAACAGCAGCAGGCCAGTCCTCTGGAGAATTACTGGGTTAGAAGTGTGGTGTATCGGGGAGGTCATGCCTTAGAGCCCTTGTTGTTTTCAATTTGCACAAAAAATGTTCGCACAAAAACATCATGGTATACTATTAATTCAAACTTTTTCCTAAAAGTAGGCCTGCAAAGCCTAACATCAACAATAATTTATATACACTTCTTCTATACTCACAACGTTGTCGTTTACGGATGAAAGATCTTAGGCAGACGAAAATGTAAATAGAATTCAATTGCACGAAAATAAAAAAAAATTACACTTTAACTTATCACTAATTTTGGATTAAAGAAAAACATATTGCAAGCTACCTCCAGAGAGCTCATCTTTCATATTCATCTTTCAACATTGTGTCCGCACAGTGATTTATTAGGTGAACATTTTAAAGTAAAATTATTAAAGCCATCTCAATTGTTGTTAACTGGTCCTTTTTTGCAGTTTCGAGAATTCGAGAATCGACCAAACCAACCAACTAACCAAAACTATCATTATACATATTTGGCTTGTTTCACAAAAGACAAGTCTGGTTAAAAAAGACACGTTCCTGTCAGTCCTTAACATTACCCTGTACAAAGTTCCCCTGAAGAAGTCACACTAAGACGATCTGAATAATCAAAAAATATTTTGGGTATTTCAGCACACAGTATTTAAACTTAGTCGGTTCATTTTCTGGTTTCGAGTTGCTAAGTTTGTTGATGTTTTTCTTTTCCTACGATGTCTATTTTTTTTTACTCTTATATATTTTTTACTTACGTAAAAGCATATATCAGTAATAATAGTTGGCAATTTACGGAACTAGTGTAACTATATAACGTGTCACAAGGTTTTAGTTCTATTGTAATAGCTATAATAATAATGAGTGTTTTTTTTAAGAGGAGAAACAAAACACGCATTGCCCCTTGCTAGATTTATGTTTACTTTGTTGTTTTTGTTTTTAAATTTAAAAGCAATTTATTGACCAATATGTTGCCAGCAAATTAATGTCAAACTGTCTAAATGTGAATAATAATTTTATTGTAAACTTCACTTACCCGATTGATAAAATCTAATTAGAAAAATTTCGTAAGAAGTTAGGCAATGTTAAAACTTATTGACACAAGAAGTTTCAAAAATTATTGTCAAACATTTTTTGTGTAAAATTCGCTTTAGAATTCATGTATAAAAACATTTTTGTCAAATTCAAAATAACTGATGGGCTAGCAAGGAAACACTAAAATCAAAGAATTTAAATATTGAAAATATTCGAAGGGGTGGGTGTTACAAATGAGGATGTGCTTCGAATGCTTTCGATTCAATTAGATGAAAATTTACCAAGTCGTTCTCCTCGTACCTACTGGACCATTTCCAACGTATCATTTCACAGGCAAAGATCGCAGGCGGAAGACATCCAATAGGAAGGAAAGTTTAGCAACATTTGCCGTTGGACAGGGGTTCATGACTTGCAGTGTTTTCGAGTTGCAATAGACCGAAACATCTACGCATAAATCTACATCACACTTTAAGAAGAAGCTAATATTTCTTACTCCGTCTCTGTTAATTTAATTTTGATTAATTTTGGATATTTGGGCAACTTTTATTCCAATTACTTGACCCTGTTAAACCTTTAAAAGTTACCCATACAATCCCACTGAAAAAGTGTTCACTTTGTATAAAACGTGTTGCTACGAAGTAATGTGATCCAGGTCTCTAAGTATATTATTCCACGGTAGCGTGAACTTCGCTGGACAAAATGTAACCTCGCAAACCTGTTAACAAGCTAAAATTGATGTCGGCGAAAACACTTTGATCGAACCGCAACAAACCGTCGACAGAGAGTTACTCTTCCTTTTCTATTTATATTCAATGATTTTCAAACTACCCACTATTCGGGTACGCCAGAGTAAAATCAATATAAGTTTTCAAATCAGCGCCAAGTGAATGTCATCAAAAGGTTGGCTACAGTCGGGCTGCCGTGAAACATACTTTACATGAATCACGACATCAGTGATATTAAATTTGAATTCTATTGGAATAATGTGACTCATTGCACGTATTTGTAAATAAGTAAACAGTTGTTGTTGGGTATTGTTTAATACAGGTTTCATAGTAAATAGTAAACAACGTTTAAATCATAATAACAAATTAATATAATAAAAACAAATTTGGCTCCTTTACTCAAGCCCTCCAGTTGAAAAATCGGCCTGAATATTTTTGGGTGTATATCGGGTGTCGCAGTAAGTGCAACGAGGTACAAGAGAAAATGATTAATTAATAGTAAGTTGAAATTACTGCTAGGCGCGTAGCAATCTTAACTTGACTTTTATAACCGAGTTTTAACAAAATTAGATAGAGATAAAGGTATTTTAATAGACGTGGAGTAGTTTAAATGGAATTTTTCTCAGCTATCAATCGTACCTTGCCATCAGGTGACATTGTCTGACATAAAAAATGACAACGCCAATGGAAAATGAAAAACTCACAATACTAAATATTTGAAAACCGTTAAGGATATCAAAACGTAGTGTCAGCTATTCGGTAATTTAGTACCCTTAGAAGGTAGAGCAAAAAAAGCAGACATAATTGGAGATTAATAACAACTCGTAAAATGGAAATGTTTCAAATGTTTCAAACTTATATTTCGTTTTCGATTCTTTTCTTTAAATTTTAGGTTGGGATTAAGATATTGATATGCGGCTTTAACCGTGTTGTTGGTCAACTAATGAAATAAAAATGTCATATCCTTGCATTTATTTGTTTTTTAGAAAAGTATTTTTTGCGGTATATCCTCAAACCATTTTTAAGGAGTCCAAGTTTATCAAAATGTGTTAAATCTTTCGAATATCCCACCAATTTAGTCGTAGAGCAAAGAGCATTAAACAAAAAAGATTTGATTTTGAATTAGCTATAAAACAAGTTATAGACTATGGTTAATATAAGCAAATTTTGCATAAACCAGGATTTAAAAATCAAGTCAGCAATTACGTCGTATTACGATCCTTTGAGAAACTTGAAAATAATGAATTTTTTTCAAAATTTCTTGTACAGTCCGTTTTTCCAATACTACCCAAAACTAATTAGGATTTTTGAATCATCTTGGGTTAAAAATAAATACGTGAAAAAAAAATCACACACCAACTGTCCAAAAGATTAAGTTTTGGCTTGAAAACTTAGAACATCTGCTCGATAAACGCGTGATAGCGAAATACTTATTTTTAGCAAGAAATTTCAATCATATTGTATTTAGACTCCAATAAGTAGATGCTATTCATTTCCCAAGTTGAAATTTATTACCTGGTATAAATTTTGACTTTTAAACGAAACGGGTTACGATGCAGACGGTCTTAACATGTGCAAAATTTCGAAATAACTTATGCACTGGACCTAACCCATCACTTGTTAGGTGCCAACTTTAAATTAGTTAGAAATGTAATGGACTTAACCATCCATCAGTGTACCAAGTTTTTATTAAACTGCGAAAGAAAAAGATTAAAATTACACCTAAAGGAAAATAAAATAATGTAAATAATAGCTACGATAGCAACGAGATAGTTTCATATGAAAAAATAACTTCTGTTAATTTACGATTGGCCTTCAAACATGTTTTTCGTGATGACATAAATTTTTGTCATTTTTTATAACAACACCCACTAGATATGAAAAAAGAATAACTGGAGCTCGTTTTGTTTTCATAAATTTTGGCTAATATTTTAGATTTATTTTGGGGAGGTTTAGCACAACTATTGCTTAATTTAAACTTAACATTTTTGTTTAATTTAAACTATCTGCATATGCATGTATTTTTGAAGTAGTATTGCCTCGCACTTAATAGTAAGCAAATTTGGGTTTCAAATTTATGACAACATTAAACAAAAAAAGTGGCAAATAAAAACGTACGTAAATTATACCAGATCATGCAATGAAATGGGTGATTTTGTTTTGATTATTCTGATTCAAACTATTTTTTCGTCCGATAATACAAGACCTCAATCAGAGAAAAGAGTCCTGAAAACCACCTGGTATCACAGTTAGACTTTCATAAAACCATTTATGCTCTGAATACATATTTGAGGGAAATTTTTCTGTGAATGCAGTAGCTAGAAAATTTGTGTTTTATTCCTTACAGGAGGAATCTTTTGCTGCGGTCCGCGAGACAAGATAACGATACTGGCAAACATATGATTTTTTTTGTTTACTATTGGTTAGTCGTTTTTGTTGTTAATTGCTTTAAGACATTTTTAAAGGAAGATCCTGGATAGAGTCTCAAAAAGAAACAATTGCAAACGAAAACAGCAAACATTTGTTTTGGACTCGTGCTTATTGGAAAATATGAAAAATATAAAATTGGGGTAACTTACCCGCACAGTAATAAAATCTGATGATAATAAATATAGATATATACATTGGTTCTTTATTGAGGTGGTGTTGTTAACAATTAGAGATTTTTAACGTCGCTGAATTGAGCAACAAAAGGAAGCGATAAGGGATAGCTTCGACTATTCACTGAGGCTTAAAAAAATAAGTGCCGAATACTGCGCATCGTTGTTCACTCATCCAGGTAAGGCGATATCAAATTCCTGAAAAAGGTGTGGATTTTCTTCAAAAAGCATTCCGCAAAGCTGCCGCTCGTTTTATCCAACCCGTACAAAAATAGACCGTCGACCCGAGTTCCAAAAGGATCCGAATCTATTGCAGCCTCATACTCCCTACTTAGCTTGATTGGTTCCGTGTGCAAAATGTTCATAGACTAGGCCGCTCGACGCTGTTTTCCCTGCATTCGAATACGGTGGTTAATTGCAAGAGGATCCCTCCAAGACCACTAAGTTTTACGATCCGACCAGGTACGATGTGAAAGGTTATAGTGCTATATAGTTATAGTGTGCTAACAGTGTGACCAGCCTTTAGCAGGGACTGTAGCAAAGTGTCCTCGTAGTGGAACAGTGTGAACGCTTGGTAGATAGTTGTAACGTAACGCCTTCGCATCCATATTTGGTAACCTGCATGTACACGCTGGCTCTTTGCCAGACAACGGGGGATATTTTTGGATCGGTTTATGTGTTGTTTTTTAGGATGCCTTGGCACGTTGCCAACTGGCCTACTAAGGGAAGGGGCTCGTTGTTTTTGACGCAATTTTTGACGGTGTGTTACGAAATTTTACATGCCGCCTCGTAACTTTTTTTTTATTTAAAAAATAATTGACAAAATGGCAAAAATTCCTTTTATGTATTTGTTAACAGTTTTTTTTTAGTTTTTCTAATTTCATTCAAAAATAATTCTTAAATCTTTTTACACTTTCGTTGTATACCTTTAGTTTCCATAACAAGCATTTAAAAGTGGTCCGTAATTACATTACATTAAAATTACACGTTTCCTTGGAATTAATACAGCATCGATTTTTAATTTAACACTTTTTTACTTAAGCCGATAGCTTTCCTCCTAGTGTGTTTTCGTTTTGGGTTGTGGTACGATCATTACTTTCATTTGTATTTTCGGTTTAGGTCGACTAATTAGATCAAAATGCCTTTCAAGCCAGTAGAAAACCCAAAATGCCCCAAATGCCAAAAATCTGTCTACGCTGCTGAAGAACGTGTAGCTGGAGGATACAAATTCCACAAATCATGTTTCAAATGTGGTAAGGCACTTTTTCCTTTTAATTAAATCCTCAAAAAAATCTGAACCGATATGAAAGCATCAAATATTAGAAAGTCAGTGTTCATTTAATAGCAAAAAAATAATTTCGCGGGGAAAACAAAGACAAACGATATTTAGTCATTTTTGTTATGTTTAGGTCTGTGCGGAAAGATGTTGGACTCCACCAATGTAACAGAGCACGAGGCTGAGCTTTACTGCAAGAACTGCCACGCACGGAAATACGGACCAAAAGGTTACGGTTTCGGTGGCGGCGCTGGATGCTTAAGCATGGACACTGGCTCCCATCTCCAAGGGTGAGTTCATTTGGTTCACGCTCACACATTTCGAGTAACGTAAAAAATACATTAAAATTGTAAGGTCAGCATATTCATTTAATCAAATAGATTCGAAAACGCTACTGGGACAGTGAGCGCTCCAATTCATTTCAAATGATTTTAAAGAACCTGAGAATTATTTAATTTTATTTTAAGGTACAATCTTCTACAAAACATTAAATTAAAACTTAGCGCGTATATATCAAAGAGAAATCAAATCATCGAACCACATAACGTATCGCCGACGTCGACCAAGTAAAGCGTAATTGGTTTTTAATGTTTGAGTGTTTACTATCCTGTAGATGAAAGCTACAGTTCTGCAGCGATAGAGCCGAGACTTCTGTATATATGTATATCTTCAATTACCATTTGTATGTTGGTCTATGTTTTTTCGTATCGATGTAATCTATATTCCACTCTCAGTGTTACAATTTTCCGTTTTACGGATAGATCTGGTAAATTAATTAGTTAAAGTGGTGATTGGTAAAGGAGAACAACCGCGCGCGTAGTGAATGCTGACCTTATAGCGCAAATTTACATCTAACAAACGTCTTTTATGAGATATTGTTTGGTTATCGGTTGAAGGCCATAAAAAATTTAAATCTACGAATTGAGGGCTTTCCTTATCTTAGTCCACATTAAATAACTTGTTTCCGCCTCAAATCTGCAAGCTAACATTTCTGATGAGTGCGTATACCAAAACAAAATTTCTATACTCCCCTTTCCGAATTTTTCGAGACTACTTTTGTTGCTTTTTAACAACTCCTTATTGGTTTGGTATGCTTGGAGCCTAATCAGAAATACGTGCTTGCACGAAGGCGACTTGTACAATTCAGTATCCTAATATTAAAAAAAAAGACATCTCTAAACGTTTTTAACCACAATAAAGCCGATGCCAAAAAATTAGTTAACCTTATTGAGTGTGTACCGGAGCATGACATGGCTTTTTTTGTATAGCAACTAATTGGAACGACCAAAGGATTGGGGCGACCGCCAAAACACCAGAACGCGTCGTCAAATTACCCTTATTTCCATCCTACCGTTATCGTTTATAATTTACTTTATTAAATAGATTTTAATATCAAAACATTTAGCATTAATATTTATATTTCGTTTTACAAACCGGATTCGATTATTATTTTGTAATAATTGGATTTCAAATAAAAATTTAAATTGGACAATCTGTTGTGATGTTTTTCTGGCGAAATATCCAGAAAACGTTTTTAACTATTCGATTTTTGGAAAAACGTTTTTTTTTTTAAGCCACAATTTACACTTGTTTATTGGTAACTACTCGGAAAAGTATTTTGTGTGAGTTTGAAAATGTTTTGTGGATATTGTCGTCACTACCCGGTATCCCCTCCAGAAACCTACCCCGGTGTCAAAAAGTGTACGTTGCGCAATATCAGTCTGTAGTCCCATGTGGATCTGTGACGTCACCAAAACCACAAAACGGTGAGACATCTTTTGTACGTTTTGACCAGCAGCTGATTACTAACGCCTAAAAACATCCTACCCTAACCTTTAAGTGATGGGATAAGGGGGGTGCCCTCAATTTAGATTCGATTTTGAAAAAAATGCATTTTCTTAACGCCATCGGGACTGTACATCCTTCTCTCATTACGAATATTTCACAATATAATCGTCGGTTTCTTTTGTTTATTAGATGAGCGGCAGGCAACAGCTTCTGGGCTAATTTTTTCACCAGATCAAGCTTTCTAAAATCTTTCAGTTAACACACTCTTTCCGCACCACTTTGTTATTCTTATTTGCACCATCGTATCCGACCGATTCGCGCTGTGTAGATAGCTTGGCGAATAAAAAGCGCAACGTCTGGACTAGGCCTTATTAATACCATAATAATAACGAATGAACTAGGTCCGATTAATACTATATTAATTATTATTATGCTCCGTATGACGGGATGTAATAGGTGCGTTCAATTTTTAGGGATGACGTGGTTGTAAACCGTGCCCCGTTACTTCCAAAGGCTATTGCTAAAGCACCTGAAGGCGAAGGATGTCCGAAATGCGGAGGTTACGTTTACGCTGCCGAACAGATGCTTGCTAGGGGACGTGTAAGTATTTCGGTCCTTTCGTAAGAACAAAGCAATTTCCGTAAACAATGATAAGTGCAATCTAAGATAACACAAAAACAAAAAAAACTCATTAAGATATCAATGAATTATTGATTCAATGCCTAAATATCGACTACGTAAACAAAGGCTTTGCCGTGTGAAGATTATGACTAATCGGGCCATTCACAAAGAACGAAACATTGCAAAAATCGTAAAACCACAGACAACACGTCAAAGCACGTGATCAAAATATTACATTTTAAATACGGAAATGGCCATCCATAGTTGCCGTTCTTACTTTCGTAGTAAAATGAAAAGCAATATAGTTTTATCTATACAAATCAGCTAAATGATATTTATTTTATTTTTCTTATTAATAAAATTATAACCATCTACCGATTATTAGAATTTTAAATAAAATTCTTTCGCCCGGATATAACTTCAATAAAGGCTAAAACCATTGCAGAAAGAAATTGCAAAGGCAAAGTCATGACTGCAATGAATCTTCTATCTTGGTAAAGCACTCTTTCAACTAAAAGTTTAAAGAGACAACCCAAATGTAAACAAAGTGGGTAAAACGAAATACCACTTCTATAGCGTGTTTTTTTTTGCATTGGGTTTTCAAAAAAAAAATGGAAATGCTGAAGAAAAAAATTGTAGCGTGAAAGTGAAATGTGCAAATGTTTCAACCGACTTTTCTGCTACGCTACGCCTTGGCAATGTCGACATTTTACGGGTTGGTTACGCAAATGTGGCCCTTGTAAAAGTTGATTAACGGCGTGCATATCTATGAGCATTTATTTATTACTATATATTAATTATTATAGTCATTTCACATTGAAATGTCAAAAATAGAAGTCAAAGAAAATTTATATAACCTACATAAATTTACGAGGATTAAGAAAATTCGTTGGAATTATAAACAACTTGTTAGAAAATTATTTGTTCCTATATCCACGAGACAATATTTTATCGGATCAAATAAATACATTTCTCAAAATATTTTGTTAATATAAATTGACATGCTGGTTTCGAAAAAATGTTCTATCCACTCAAAAATATATTAATTCTTAACTTAATACTAAAAATTATTTAGGCTAAATTATTTATTCAAAATAAATTACATAGTTTCAACAATTAACAACAATTAAATGAAGTAATACAGTTTGATCACCAAAAGTTGACACTATCCGTTTTTCTTCTTTAATATAATATTTGATAAAATGAAATTCAAGCAAATGGTTTATTTTGATCAAGTTTCTATTCATTCAACAGCTTATTTGAATATTAATGTATTTTCGGTGACCTAGCTGTGGTCTCCTTCCGACTTCGCTTGTATTAAAAATGTGTTGTTGTTGTTGACCAAATATAATTATTCTTAGCTACCAAGTTAAGGTTCGCAAAATCAAAAATTACACAACGAGTAACGTTGGTGATAGAAAGATCCATGCTGCTATACAATACTGAAGCGCTATAGGGAATGATAGGGGGACGCCTAAATAAAAGGCTAAATATTGCTTATTATCTACAAAGAAAAACTCTTACACATATAAAAATAAAAGCATGAGAAACAAAAGATACAGTATAAACGGGAATATTTCTGCAAGTAACATTGACTAGCCCAGCATATACTAAAAATTCCCTTGCAGATTCCACGTGTAGGCTAAAAGTAAACTCTGAGTATAATTTGTGTGTTCTATGTAGCAGTGCCTATTAGGAGCTTTGTATCTTCACCAAGTTCTATATAGTTTCAAACATATTGGACATGGACTGAAAATAAAGCGAACTTGCTGTTATGCAAATTGAAGCAAGTTTTCAGTAGTATCTCTAGCAATTTAACAAAGTATATGCTTGATATTTTCCGGAGGAAGTCAATTATTTTTCAATTAAACAAATATTTATTATCTTTGTCGCCAAGAGAAAAAGTTTATTTAATTTAACAATGTTCTATTAAACTGTTAAAATGTTTCATTACCATTTGTGGTCTTCCAAAATAATATTATTGGATTGAATAAACGGCTATATCACCGTAATTTAACATAAACAAAGAAAATGGTTTATTTTTAACAGACTTTTCTAGCTAAATATATTTTGCTTCATCTTTTCATTCTGTGTACTACAGTAAATAAATATATCAAGAAAGGATTTTGATATACTTATTACAACTTCAAGTGTATTGAAAAAAGAATATTTAATTTGTATGTTTTGACCGATTGTGCAAATCCTTATTGGTGCAAGGAAACACTTGTGGATGGTAATTGCTATACCAACGGAAATAAAATGTATGGATTTTCGCAAACATAGTCACGGAATTCGGGTTCAACCGATATTAAATATCATATCTGCGTATAAAACAGCACTAACCTAAACAATATACAGGGTTGGCATAAACTATGTTTCCGTTGTCAAAACTGTGAGCGATGGTTGGATTCGACAACTCATTGCGATGCTCCCGATGGTATGGTATATTGCAGAGGTACGCTGCGAGTTTATAAGTTCGTCCCAACCTTGAATCACAAACAGATGTCTGGCGTTTTGCGAACTGTTTTCAACTGTCGCCTACTACATTCCTTTAAAGACGATTGTAGCCATTATAATTCCTTAGTTTTGCAGTCATTTGGGGGTTTGGCCCTCGAGCCATTATATTTAAAGAGAGCTAACCAAAACTAATCAAAAGCTGATCATGTTGGGTGTCATTTTTCAGTCACTTTGGATGGTTAAGTTCAAATATGATATGTCTATGTCTTATCCCTTTAGAGGCAATGTTTAACTAAAAAAGAAAGTAAATAGAGGAGATTATTAAATTATACAATAATTTATGAGCGACTCCAACTAAAGGTCCACAATACTTGCTGTGGTACAACTGAATTAATTTTTCATAAAACAATTTAACAAAAGGACATAAATGAAAATAGCTTAAATTCGAACAGCTCGAGATCCTCATCCATATAGGCAGCGCAACTGACCTTGCCTCACTCAGTGTACGAGCAGTGAATATTCAAAGATTATCTGTATTTACCTGAGCCATATAAGACTCAGTACTTTATCTAGTTCATGGGAAAATATCGTTAAAATCATAAGTCACATGTTCTTTAGCCAGAAAACTGAACAACTTCTTTCTGCAATGAACGCGAAATTTTCACACCTGCTGTGTGTCCAATCTTTTGGTACTTGTTCTTTGTTTCTTTTTCAAGTATTTTGGCCATAGTAACGAACCCTGGGTTGAACTTTTTGTCTTCACTGTTCGATTATTCCGTGGATCAAAAATTTTCATCTCTATTTTTGAAAATCAATCTCATTCAATACCTGAGGAATGGCACTCTGCCTGCTTCTCAAAAATAAGCATAAAAAAGAAAAATTAGACTTAATTTTAGATGTTGCAGATGTTAAAGCGGAATGTTAGCTCATACAACAAATTTTAGAACAGTAAATTGGTAATGGTAAATTGGAAAGGCACAAACTTTATTTGAATAAAAAATAGTCGTTAGTTAATGGGTTAATCCAAATGCAAGAAACTGTTTCTGACAACTGGTTGGACGAATATATTGTCGTAAACTTTTCACAGCACGTTTTTTTTTTGTTATAATGATATGCGTTTGCCGTTTCGTACCGTCCCTTGCAACAATTTCCACGTTCTCTGATCAAACTTGTGTTCTAATGGAGTTTATCTGATGTTGAGGTATCGATGGTTTTGTTAACTTTTAAGGCGTTCCACAAATCTTGCTTCAAGTGCGGCGATTGCTCGAAACGACTGGATTCTGTTAACGTTACAGAAGGACCGAACAAGGACATCTACTGTAAAGGTTTGTTGAAATAATTTAATAATAATAATCAATATTAATATTCATCGTATTCAATAAACTCAGCCTTGATGCTTCAGAAAGAAGCTGTAGAAAATTGCAATAATTCATGTTCAAGAGTTGAATTTACTTAATGTAGGTCGCATTAGGTTGGTGGACTGCAACAATCATACAAAGTTTACAGACACGGGTAAACTTGATATTTTGCTTTAGTCTTTTTGGAAAAAACGGAAGTTTGGAACTTTGAATAAGTAGACTTTAAATGGTGCGACCATAATAAAGAAAATACATCTATTGTTTCTATTGTTTCTATTGTTTCTATTGAAATTGTGATTTTTGCTTTGGAGGCCCTAGGTTTTATTTTAACTTACGAAACAAATTTCAAAGAATTAACGCAAAACGCGTATTCGGTCACATTTTATATAACTTTTACATTTTTCTGGGACTGTCTTGTCTGGTTAGTATCCTTAACGTTTGTGTTGACGATGTAAGTTTATATTTTGCGGCTCCTAAAACCACTGTAACTTATGGTACCGGTTTTTGCCCTCTTCTTCTCAAGCTGGCTACTATTAATAATGTTATATCGCAATCTTTCTAAAATGTCTTTAAGAAGTAGTTACTTAAGCTCAAACACCAAAACAGAAAGAACTCACGTTCACAATGAAGTGATTAATAATAGAACGAAAATTCTAAGCAAAAAGTCCGTCGGCAGACGTCCAAACTCAAGGTAGCTTGACACTAGATATTTTTCCTTAGCCACTTGAATCACCAACTTTCGAAAGAAGACTGCGTCTTAACAAGAAGAAAAGTCTATGTAGCTAACAACCAAGTTCACAATTTGACGACTACCAATTTGCATAGTATTTGTTCAAAGTGTTAAAAAGTTTTTATTGTTAATGAGACTGAGCAAATTATCAAGTGAGTGCCATGTGGCGTTTTTGCCATTATCTATTATGAAATTTTATTATTATTCATAGAAATTATTCCTGTAACTACGACCTCTAAAGGTTATTAGCTTCAGAAATGCGAGTTTGTTGCCATTTGTGTACAATTTGGACTACCGCAACTTTCAAAAAACATCCTACCAACCTTAGTAGGCTATTTTAACTTCTTCATTTCTTTTTGTATTTCACTTTGCTTTGAAATTCCTCGCGAAACTAATAGTTTCTTCTAAAATTTCCGAAAACTTGTAAAGTGACATGAAAAAGCGCATAATGTATATTATTTTGGCAATATTGGAAAGTAATCATATATTAGTTATTCGCCTCTATGTTCAAATTTTGTTCAAATAACCTAGAAAGTATATCATTGTGCATACTCAAATTATTCTGTTTAGTTTGCTACGGTAAGAAGTTTGGTCCAAAAGGTTATGGATACGGCCAAGGTGGTGGTACCTTGCAGAGCGACACCTTTTCTATCAGGTAAAATAGCACGACTGGCCTTAACATGTAGAATTTCGTTATTTTTTGACCGCTGCTTTAAGATACCTTAAAATACATTGGTGCTCATAGTAAAATTTTTCGAAATTCATAAATTTAAAAAACGGCTTTTTAATTATTGTGGGCGGTTGTTCTAATTCCAATTCTAATAAATGGATAATTGATTAGAGATGTGTTTTGAGGTACCCTTAATATTTTTAACAGCTGTTTGCAGTGACGCAAAAAAATTATATTTATTAAATTGTTCCATGTATAGCTTGCTATGCTCAACGCTTTGGTCCTAGAGGAATCGGCCATGCTGGTGGGCTATTTCTCGGCCTTATGTCAGACGCTTTGGATGCTGAATGGCAGAGGTATTAAAAGCGAGCTTTTATATATTTTTGTGTTGTGTTGTTGGTTTATTTCATACCAATTGCATGTAATTGATAGTTCGGTATCTACTATTTTGGTAAAAATTTTGTATCAAAGCGAAATATCCACCATCTCGTTACCGAAACTAGTTTAAAATTGTATAATATTGTAAAATATTTTTCCGTCACGTGCTACCTAAGCAAATTCTAGTTTTCAGTTCCAAATGTACCCTTTTTTATTTATGTTATTTTGAAAAGTTTTTTTTTCTCTCAAACGTTTTGAGGCCCAGTCATTGCTTTATTATGGAGACCTGTTTTAAATTCTGAATTGATTTATATATTATATTTATTCGTAATAGCTATATGAATACGACTATCGTTCTTCTCGGGAAGTAGTAAAAGTTAAGGTGGTGAAATTGTTTTTAAATTTATTTTCATATCATGCTTCTCAACAGAAATCGCTAATGATGAAAAGTATCCGTGCGTCAGGAATTACAGATTCTTCTTGAAACGATTATTTGCAACTGGGTGATTTGTCCTTTCAACATCATAAAAGTGGTTGACAATAATCCTAACAAATTTTCCTCAAAAGTTTTTTTATGTCATTTCGTTAGTTTTCATTTAACTTGATATTTCACTACTTCCTATAGCAGGAAAGGAAACATTACTTTCATTGTTACAGTGACCAATAAATCAATGCTATAGCCTATTTCAGAAAAGTGTGGAGCAATGATGTGTAGTGATTTCCCTCTCGGTCATAGGCGTAGGTAAAATTTGTCCAATACAATTATTTATGATCCCTATTTTAAATTCAATACTAATAATAAGGTTTGTTGCATTCCAGACCATTAAGCATCTTACCTGATATATTCGGGTTTTATGATTTCAATACTTTAATGACAACATAATTAAAATACTTAACCGCCTATACCTGTTAATTATAGCCTCAAGAGGAGGTGACAGTTACTCTAATGAGATTTCCTTTTTACCCTTCTGCAATAAATATTACCACAATTCATCTCTATGAAATGAAAATTATTACAAGATGATACATAAACCGTCAAGTGTCAAAACACCTCTTCTAAATTCTAAAATTCTGAAAAGGACACTTTGGTGCATTAACTTAACTCAAAAGTATCTGCTTCTTGTTAATTCTTTTTAAATCAATTAATACACGAGAGGCATTTTTCTTTGATTGCTGGACATGTTGTAGCAACTATATTCATATGAGTTTGCGATGAAATTCTAATATCTAATAGACTATATAAATAGAAACATATAATCATTATAAATTAAACAAGTAGGTTTGAAGCATTCAAATTTCATGTTTAGTTTTATTTAATCCTGTTCTGTAGTTGACTGTTCTAGTAAGAGAGACACTTTTAAGGTTTTTTTGAACTGTGACAAGATTTTTTGTTTCAGTAGTGGTCAATCTTTGTATATAGGTTGGCTTTTTTAAATTTGATTAAATGAAACATACACTCTGCATGGAGGAGAGAAATATTTTGTCTTCGTCTGATATTACAAACGAGTCTTAACCATGAATTTTGCGCCACCTGAGTTCTCCGTATACCTGAAGAGTCTAAGCAGCGCTTATTTGACGGGATTATTTGAATTGAATATTGCAGCACCTGATACATTAGCTTCAAATTCATGACGTTTTAACGCAATTGTTTATGTAAAAGCTGTCAAATGTCAATCCAACTTTTGTGAAAAATTTTTCGCAGCTTTTTATTAACTTTTCTTTGTTGTACCTTGGAGAAATGGTTATTTCCTCAATTAACAATACTAGATGTCTTCGATGATCTTGTCCATGGCCAATATCCTGGTTTCCAATATCTAATAACTGAGTTCATTTTATACGTGTAACAAATATAAAATTTAAAATTGATCCGTGGGCTACTCCGGACATAACATCTTTAGAATGCGAAAGATTCAGTCTTTGGGTTCTTCCTGACAAAAAGCTTTGAACAAGATTCAAATGCGCTTTAGATAAGTTTATGGATTTCGGAGTTGCTATTAGAAGACGGTGGTTGATCAAAAGCTTTTCTAAAGTCTAATAATACAACCCCTATAAGTTATGTTTGATCTGCTGCTTCACACATATCATTGGTCAAATTTGAAAGTGACTTTTCACAACTAAAGCCCTGCTTACTGATTTGATGGTGAGATGTTCTTGTTTTCCAAAAATTTTCGAAACTGTTTTTTTAATATTTTTAATAGGGTACACATTATACTGACCCGACAAAGATATTTAAAGTCCTGAGGGCGACTACATTTTGGCAGAGGGCTAATAATATTAGATATTAAGATCTTAGACTTCAGTTCACCAAGTGCATAAGGAAAGTCAAAATATGTGGATAACACCAAAGAATCATTTTTAGGTTTACACGATCGCGGACACGTTAGCATGAAATTTTAGACCTAACATTATTTTTTGAATTTCATTTTCAGTGACATACTGAACTTCGAAAGAGCCAATGTGAATTTGATTGGTGTTTGATTCTATAATTTCCTCACTAATAGGTAATGTTGTATTGTCGATAAAAAAATCAAATTTAACGCTATTGTAGTTTTCCATTTTCTTATATTAAGTGAGTTCAGAGTTGTCCAAGTTTGCTTAATTCCCCCAGTTCGCATTTTATGCTCGAAATATTTTTCATATCTACAGGCTATAGTTGTATAATTGGGTAGTATTTCATAGTATTCACGCTCAGCTTGTATTATAAATCTCTTCCACTTTAACTTGGCCTTATCTCTCTATCTCTCACTTTTATGGTTTTTAAACAATGATAAAATTTTTGCGGTAAAGAAGTCTATTCTGCCATTCGGATCAGGGAAGTTGTTAAGTTTTTAATTAAATTTGTATTTGAGACTAAAATACAATCTAACAATATAATACTATACACAAATCCGTGCGCGTAGGCTCATTGATAATTTGTTGCATGTCTAACGATTCAAGGACAGAATTGAATTTGTAGAAAGCGTCACTGTATGTAAGAAAATCAACATTAAACTCACCGAAGCAAAAAACTTCATCCACCTCTATAAAAAATAGTATCACCGTGTCTTTGAAAATATTCAAAAAATTATATGATGGTGTATCTGGCGCGCGATATATGACTGAAAACCCGAAAGACCATTTTTTCTATTTTAAAAGTTATGCACACCTATTCGTTATGTTTAATGACAGCTCTGAAATATAAAAACTTGAGAAACATTGACCATATATGAATGTGATTACACAAAATATTTTTGTTTGCCACAATTCAATAATTTCCGTGTCTTTAATTACGGGACCTACCAAATAGGAAAAATCTAAGATATATAAGTATTAGGCGTATACAATTTTGTTGAAAAACATTTTCATATTGGATATATTACCCTTTGTCGGGTGTCATTTACAAGTTCATTGATCTGGACGCTGAGGCTTAGAAAATACAGTACTTGCTCTAGTCGCTCGCGAATACTTTTTATTGACTGGTATCTTTAATTAGCGACTTTATTGATAGATAACAATACTAATTAATACTAAATAGTGCCAAAATAACTAAACCCCAACGAAACGTATGAGTACCGTTTACCGTTTCAGCGGCCAAGCCCCGAGAAACACCGTCATCGACACGGCTTGCATCAAGGCTCCCCCAGGCCAGGGATGTCCCCGTTGTGGCGGAGTCGTCTTCGCCGCAGAGGAAGTCCTCGCCAAGGGACGTCCGTGGCATCGTAAGTGCTTCAAATGCCATGACTGCACCAAAACTTTGGACTCGATCATCGCTTGCGACGGACCCGACAGCGACGTCTATTGCAAAACGTGTTACGGCAAAAAGTGGGGCCCCCACGGCTACGGGTTCGCCTGCGGCAGTGGATTTCTCCAGACCGACGGGCTAACGTAAGTTGCTGATCTTATCGCACGAACCGCGCCAATTTATATCCCATTTGGCCCGTAGCGAGGATGAAATTTCGCAACAACGTCCGTTTTACAATCCCGATACCACTTCCATTAAAGCACCACCGGGTCAAGGTTGTCCCCGCTGCGGTGGAATGGTTTTCGCCGCCGAACAGCAGCTGGCTAAGGGAACGGTGAGTTTTTTCTATTGATTGACCTGCTCTATTGGTGGAGACCGGTTTCGTCCGCGTAGATGTGGCACAAAAAGTGCTTCAACTGCGCCGAATGCCATCGCCCGTTGGACTCGGTGCTTGCCTGCGACGGACCCGACAGAGAGATCCATTGCCGCGCCTGTTACGGCAAACTGTTCGGGCCCAAGGGCTTCGGTTTCGGTCACACTCCTACCTTGGTGTCCACCGATGGCGTGGCTCCCGTTATCCACGATCCACGTCCCAACAGCGGACCCAAAGCAGCTCCCGGCCAAGGTTGCAGAAGGTGCGGTTACGCTGTGTTCGCCGCCGAGCAAATGATCAGCAAGAACGGAATCTGGCACAAGAGGTAAGTCAGCTGATTGAAGATGCTATAGAGCTTTATATAGGTTGCTGTTACACCTCGTTGTTATTGGGCAGCAGATGAAAACGCACCATCACATTGGAAGAATTGGCAGAATCTGCATTCAGTGTTTTCTTCCACTCCCATAAGGTTTAGATTTTTCTCAAGCCAGCAGTGAAGCGCCAACAGACCTACCATTATTCTTACGGCCTTTCTTTGTAACTTAGAAGGTCTACTGCAAATTTGGCAGATAGCAATTTCTTGGCATGTCCTGACTCTTCTGCTAACTTTTGCTAACTTTTATCATTATTTTATCTATAGTAACTGAATCTTTAAGGTTTACAAAAAAAGTATAATTCGAAATTGAAAATTAACCAATACCTTTTATTTATAATTTATTTAATAAATCGTCATAATAATGACATTTTTAATTATAGTGAAAAAACTTTAACGGCCAGGTACTTGTGTAATTACCATCAGACATTAACTAATAAACGAACCCCCTTGTTGTTGAGGTATAAATATTATGGGATTTTTGTTTTTTGCTTACATGTTTCATCAATACATCAATTTGAAAATCGAAGTAATTTTGCAGCCTAGATAAATGCTAATTTTTTCATATAATTTTAATGTTTCCTTTATTTCAGGTTATAAAGTAGACACGCAATTTTTTTTTGTTATTTACAAATAACTCAGGTTTTTCGGAAAGACTCGCTATTGATTTAAATCGTATTAAAAGTTGGGAATATTTTATATACATTTTTAATTCACATTTCTCAGTTCCTAACACTGCAAGATGAAGATTTTTCTACAAAACATGAATATAAACTGGATGTTTATATTACCACTACTTCACTACTATCACTATTACACATCAATATTATTTTTATACTAGTACCGCTTTAATATTTACAAATCTTCTGGATGCCTCCTGCCCCGATTGTTGATAAATCGGCGTTTCGCTTCTTCATTGCTTAACCGAAACTGAAGAAGCCAGCAGTTTCAGTTAAGCACTGAAGAAGTCAGCAGGATGACTGGCGAAACATCAACAATTCATTAAAAATCGACGCAGCAGCAGTAGCCTGTAGAAGTTTCTTTAAAAATTAGTTGATCATTCTTAACCGTTCTGCTAATAGTCAGAATAGATATGATTTCAGTTAGTTTGTGTTGTTCGATGTTTAACTGTCGAAATTCTTTCTAGATGCTTCAGCTGCGCGGACTGTGGCCGTTCCTTAGACTCGACGAACCAAAACGATGCGCCCAACGGCGAAATCTTCTGCAGAGGTTGTTACGGACGTCACTTCGGTCCCAAAGGTGTTGGCTTCGGAATGGGAGCCGGTACCCTCACGATGGCTTAAAAACGCGATAAGACACTTACCTTCTGTTATCTTAATCAATTAAACATTTTGACAGTTGACGCGACGACGCTCACAGCGCCACCACGCGGGAAATGGTAGCAATATTACAGGCCTGACAATAATATCGATTCAACAATACGCGAATTTTTCGCGGGGAGATGTTGCGGCGTCGTTGAAAATTGGTTAAGACTGTTATATAAATAAATAACTGTATAATTTAAACAAGGATATCCCTGCTTAATGTAACAATAATTTTTATGATTATATCGCGCAACGTTGTAAGTACTTATACAAGGTTTAGTGAAGTAAATTCTTTTTTGAGATGCTTTAAAACGCATATTTTTGAACGGTTTTTTTTTTTCGATGTATTTTTATAATATATACAATTCCACTTAATTGTTCGAGTAAGGACGACATACACGAGAGACAGAGGGATAAATAAGACTCAAGAGGTGCTGGTTACCGGAGATCAGCCTATATAATACGGAAAGACTTACTTTCGAACGACACAGGTCGACCTGAGAATTTTTTTGGTATATATGTACATTGACCACTTTGGATGGTCTATTCGAACCGCTGCTTGGCGCTTAGCACGCAAATGGCAACTCTTACATCGCAGTTAATTTTACGATATTTTTGTCTAGTTAATGATTTCTGTTATATTCTAATAAAACCAATAAAGATATCTTTAAAACAATAACGATTGTTTAAATTACACATGCCTGAGAGCGCACTCCCTAAATCGCTGTATAATAGCGAAACCTCGAAATTAACACACATGAATAAAATCATAATTTACAAAAGTTAGTTCTATTTAATTAGAAAATTAATTAAGTAGTACCATCGGAAAGCAATTGTAAATCGAATTCATGGCCTAATCTGTAATAGTTTACAAGACTTATTACCATTTATTAAGCATAGATAACTTTGAAATTAACAATGCTGAATTTTAAAAACGACTTTAAAAAATCTGGTGTATAATAGCAATAAAAATACCTGGATGGTCAACGCAAGAAATTCAATAATTCTTAATTGAATATGTGATATTCGTAGAATTTCTAAGCATGTCATTACTTGTCCCACGACCATTGCCAAACGTCAGCTGAAGTGGTTCAATCATTTTAATTTTTACTACCATACGTCCTCTTGCTAACATTTATCGTTATTTTATCTAAGGTAACTGAATCTTTACAGTTGAATTAAAATTTAGTTAATAAATCGTAATCGTAATCATAGTTTCGTACAAAATGTATTTTATTGCATATTTGAAGTGAAGGGATAACTTTGCATAAATGGATCCCTTTTCAATTTTGCGAGATATGGCGTTGGATGCTTTAAGAAACGGTCTTAGCAAAAAAATCATCATAAAGACCGCGACGTATCAATATCTTCTAGATGAAAACAAATTTTGCACAAGTAAAAGTTATAGAAAAAATTATAAATTGAAAATCCTTTCTTATGTTTTAATATTTTCCACACCTACAATTTTTTTTTGAGCGGATCGCTCTTTGCACATGCCAACCACCCACCCACCTACCAAAAGTTACATTAACATTAATCCAAGTGGAAGCATATGAGAGACAGGGAGTAAAAGCTTTTATCCAAATCAGAAAAATTGACCTCTCAGGTTGTTTAGACAGCTGAGAAATGGGATAATGTAATAATTATATATACTTTACCCAGTTTGTTGTTAAATATTGATATTCTGGTGGAAGCATTGTTATTCACTTTATTCGAAACATTGTGGCTAAAGTATTTGAATTTAAAGAAGTTTTTTTTTGAATAGATAGGGACCCATCACGGTTATATTTTTAAAATATTTCTATGGTACTTTTAATGGAATACCCTGTAATATTATTTAATTTTTGATTTACAGCTTAGGTTTAATTCTGGTTTACTGTATCTTATTTTCTAAGCAAATGTTTAATTTTTTTTAAACCAAAGCTTACCATTTGATTCAGAGTGCCTGAACATTACATTTGAACATTCGAATCATAGCAATTTGTTGACTCAAACGGGATGCGCTGTAACACCTGAAAGCAGTAACTGAGAAATTTAGCAAATAAAATTCTATATTTTCGCAAAATTGAAAATACAATGTTTAGGTGCATTAAACCTTTAATGTAAGTTAACCTTCATTTTGACCATACAAACCGAAAATTAAATAATATAGGGACGATTCTATTTAAAACGTTTCGCGTTTTTAGACACGTGGAAATATTTTTCAAATATATCCTAATGGGCCTTGTTCATCTGAAATGGCATTTTGATTTAAATCAAATAACTACGAAACGTTATCAAAACAATGTATTAATCTCCTCAGTAACATCAAATCACTAATTAAAAATGCCCACCTACTTTAAAAATGCACTTAACAATTATCTGGGATACCATCCGATAATGATTTGTAACAACTGACATATTAGTAATAAACACCATTTGTTTAAAATTTTTGAAGCTCGTATGAGTGCGACAATGGCTTATATGAAGTTGTTGCTCTGTGCGGCATTTTTAGCACCGCAGGATGTAAGTATAGTAACGCTTTGGGTTTACTTGTCCAACATATTAACGTCCGCCATACCGGCAGATCGCGCAATAAGTAAAATTTTATAGCAGTAACTTTTATATACGGAGCTGGTATTGTTCTGCTGTGTTCGTGATTGTTGGAAGTATTGGATTTTTACAAAACATTAAGCATTTTACTGTTAGCAAATAAACAGTATATTTTAATTTTTTGGAACTTTATTAACTCCGATAAAAAAAGTTTTGCTCTTCGACCTGTGGCGAAAAAGTCAGCGTAAGTACAAGAAATGTCTTTGAAGATTAACTTAAACCAATTTTTGCGTTTTGAAGTGGATCAAGGATCCGGGTTCCCCAAAACAAGGGAGCAGACGGGTTTGACGACAGCATTTATTTCCATGCTTGGAATTTACACTAATACAAATTTACCGAGTACAATCGACATTAAAAAAAAAAAATATTCGACGCACGGCTCACTCGTCGAGAGTCCGCGGCCGTCTCCCATGACGGCATTCTCACAAAAGCGTTTTTTTTTTCTTGGAACCACTACAATTTATTGTGAAAATTTTCTTGATAAATTGCAAGTTTTGCACCAATTATGAAGATTCCATTGAGTGGTGGGTTTTTTACTTATTTTACTTTTTTCAATTTTTTTTTTCAAAGCTGATCAATGGACTAGTAATCGACATTCGGGATGGCAAAGTTGAAGGGCTTACAAGTAGCACAAGGGCTGGAACAACTTTCAATTCGTTTCTTGCCATGCGCTATGCTGAAGCACCAATTGGAGACTTGCGTTTTGAGGTATTCTTATAACGAAATCGGGAACTTTTTACAGGCGGAAATTATTTCAGCTGCCCCAAAAGGTGAAACCCTGGAATGGAGTTTACGATGCCACGGAAGAGAAACATATATGCTACCAAGTAAACATGGATAGCGACAACGAAAATGAAGATTGTCTATTTATCAACGTTTTTACACCCCAGGTAAACGTGTGCTCCTAGTTTCAGTGTATACAGGGTTCCACAAACTGAATGGCCTATTAGAAGTATTTTTAAAATGGAAAAAGTTGAATTGCCGTCATAGCAGGCTACGATCTCTATTTTTAAAATATTTGGTACACTGCAGCGCTGCAATACCTACTTAAATTAACCACCAACTTACTCTGTGGGAAACGAAACGCTAGAACGGTGTATAATTAGTTATTTTATAGTAGGAGTAGAAAAACTATTTTGAACCGTTCGGGTTCAGTTAACAGTTATTTTTAATAAGAACATGTATTTGTCTATACTTTGGGGTAATGGGATAGCAAATTTATTATTGGGGCTATGGAATTAAAATACATATTATAAACACGCACTTAAAGAATCGTTTGATTAAGCCAGCAATGGGCGACACTTTTAAAAGGAGTAATAATAACTTAAAAATAAATAAAATTACCTTAAAATTTCTGGATAAGTTGTTGGTAAAAAATAACTTATTGAACCTGTCAGTATGTATCACCAATTCTTCTGGTGTATTTAGGGTATAGGGTGTAAGTTTTATTTATAACAGGTCAACAGACATTTTGGTGTTTGAGATTTTTCAACGAGACTTGTGTATTATTAATTCTTGATTTGTTATTTTGATTTGCAAGGGCCGAAGTAAGACTTTTTCTCTTGAAACCAAAAGTTTATTGATCACTTTTTGTGATCATGAATCATCCCCTTAAGGCTAATTTTTTAAACCCAGTGCTCACTGTATTGCTTTCCCAAAGCCACCCAAACAATACATGTATAGCCAGTCTGCTGTCCAAGGAGGAAGTTTGGCATTTTTAAATCAACGCCACGTGGTTACTGATCTTCTTCGTATTCATCATATTTTGAACCACGTTTGGAAATGTCAATAAAAAGACGCCAATCGTCTTTTTAAAGTCCCTTTATATTGTTACAGAGTATCAGGTTATTTTCGCGACCGGAAAAACGTAGCTGATTCATATCTTTTTTCCACAAAATGTAAAATCGTTGAGCCTTGTGGCTTGTATTTTCTTTATTATATTGGTAACTCCGAAAAGCTTTTTCAGTTCTTTGGCAGTACTCATCCTCATGTTCTGGTTGCCTCACCGGTTGTTGGCCCGAAGATTTTTCGGAGGACGTTGCCACATGCGCAGTCGCTTTTTGTTTGCGACAGTCATCATCCGTATCTCGACGTCGTACATAACTATTGGCCTTATCACCATTATGATTTGGTTTGGTATATGGATTGGTTTTTTCTGGTAGGATATTCGAAAGAACTGAGAAGCGTGATTCCTATAGCTGGTACATTTGTCTCCTTTTTTTGTGGATTGGTCCAACAACCCTTTCCTTTCATTCCTCTGGCATTGTTTCATTTTACCAGATGTTTTGTATCAGCATATAAATGGATCTATGAATCTATTATTTTAGAGCCTTCTGATTGCATGTACTTGTACTTCCTCGAATGAAGGGATTTGACCTTTTATCTCGGCAGCCTGAATCTCTTCATTGAGGATGGTTGTGTTAGATCGGTCGTTGAGCAGTTAACGGAAGTATTAATAGATAGATAAAGTACATTATTTTCTTTTAATCTAGATGATAATCGAGCAGGCTCCTTTGAGAGGTCCAAATCTCTTATAAGATCGTTCAGTTCTTCCTGATTGAAACACAACCGAGTTGCTGAATTTGTATCAAATTTGTATAGGTTTCTGATTGAATTCTTTGAACCGACGTTGATGTTTTTGTATCATCTTCTGCGAAAACTGCTGAAGAATGGAACCGATATTTCCTCCGAGTGCAAAAACTAAATTCGGATACTTCCACGTGTACATCTTGTTCCTCTTTATAGCAGTCGTTCTTCAAACTGTATACACTTTATACAGAGAAGTAGCTCTTCTGTTGTTTTTCACTACATGCATAACAAACAACATCGAGTTGATTTACACAGGTACGTCTACTTGGACATGTCATTGTTTTAGTTGAGTTTTGATACTATACAACATTTACGCACAACTTTACTTTTGAAACTCAATAAATTAAATCCAAATATTATGTTCCTAATTTTAATTTTCGTGGGAGATTAAGCATATATGGAGGGATCGGGTAATAGGAAATTTAAGATATAAAAGTAGGTAATAGAAAATTAAGAGCAGTGAATTAAGTGAATATATGAGGCCAAGGACAATTCGGGTTATATGTTTGGTTAATTATAATCCAATTGTAAATTTCAATGTTGACCATTACATAATATAAATTAATCTGTATCTCCGAAACTAGAGGTGAAAAAAAAAATCTTGTACGTTAAAAAATTCTTATATATTATTGCGATATTATGTCATGGTGCTATTGCTGAGTTGTTGTTCAATTTCAGAACTTACAAGGAAATATTACCTCCGACATTCCGGTGCTCGTATTTATCCACGGCGGAGGGTTTATTGGAGGAACGGGGTACATTGTCGAAGGTGGAGTCGGACCGAATTTCTTTATGGACTCTAACATAATTTTCGTCGCATTTAACTACCGATTAGGACCCTTCGGTAAGAAGATCAAACGTACTGCAAACCGCACAAACCATCAGCAAAATCGCCTTTTAGGTTTTCTCTCTACAGGCGATGAGGTAATACCAGGCAATCTGGGATTGAAAGATCAGGTACTGGCTTTGCAGTGGATTCAGTCGAATATCGGATACTTCGGTGGAGATAAAAACAAAGTGACTATATACGGAGCTAGTGCTGGGGCAGACATCGATCAAGCCTCTTTTCATTTGACTGAAATTTTGGTAAACCATAGTCTCTTGATGTAAATGAAAGATTTGGAAGGCAGATGACAATTATAGTACCTGTTTATTGTTTATTAATCCATGAAGGCATTCGATTTTAGTAAGTATTAAGTAGAAACAAATATTATTTATATATCTGATATAACGTATTCTATTTTACAAGTCTGGTGGATTCTGTTCAGTACGACTAAAGCTTATCCATAGATTTGGGTAGAAAATTAACGTATTAGTCCATATCAACAGGGCAATATTTTGCGTTTTAAAAATTTTAATATGTGCTGTGAATTTGAAGTGACATCAGTAATAACGAAACATAAGAAAAAGTTGTAACAGTTCTTCATTATAGTGAACTACAAAGTCATTGTCTAGAAACATTTTGCAGAATGATTTAAATAGGAAAAATCACTGTGGGGGAGAAACGTGTCCTTGCTTCACCACCATCTAACGGGTTGATTTGTTGGAGGTGTGGACTGTATTCTTGCGGGGCTGGTTTATTTTAAATGATAACCGTTTAGCACAACACGAACTATATTCAAAATCAAAATACTACAACGGCACATAGTTTGACAAATAAGTTTTACTCGCGTAACTCACAATTACGAAAGTCGCGTAAAACAAAAACTAACTTAATTAGAAAAAACCTTTTGAGAAGCGGGCCGATGGCGGCACCAACTTGTAGAGTGGTATTAAGTGAGAAAAGGGGCTTAAAACGGGGTTTTTAGAGATAGTGATCAAAAGAGGCGATAGACGTTGCCATGTCTAACGCAATATCAGCGTTTCGGGGTTCTCGAGGGCATTGGGTTGTTTTATCAACACACTGTTTTTAAATTATGGCAAACAAAAAAATCAAGTAGAACAGCCAAAGTCTTTGATGATGATACAAAATTCGAAGGAATACCCACCCTAGACGGAACTGTCATGTAGCTTCGACTGGAAGACTGTATAGTGCATAATATATAAAGTCCGGTAACCATTGCTTAAGCCTCGGCAGTAATCATATATTAACTCAATAAAGTATCTGTGGGAAGAGTTAAAGCGGCGCCTGAGCAAAGCTGAAATTTTCACCAATGAAGGGCTGGGTTGCAAAAAAGTGGAATAATATTTCGAATAATTTCGGAAGTATAACAAAAGCTAAAATTTATGCCACGAAATAAACTGGACATCAAAATTAACGCACTAGTTTTGTACTCAATGTTTGTCACATTTTGTGGGAATTTCCGTCAATACTACTAGGTGTCTGTTTAAGTTCATCCACCAGTCTCATCGTTTCTCATCATTTTCATAACTTATTTCTTTATCTGTTTTCAAATGAAGTACAGAATATAATGTCAAACGAATACGTATTCCAGAAGAGGTTTATAATACCAGACCACATATTACAAGATTAGTATTAAATTACTTAAACGAGGTGAATATGGAGATTTCAGACTGACGTCGACGCCTCAAATGGATAGGGAGCTTAAAGATCATCAACCCTCCACCTGCCCGCTAGAAAACAATATCAGAATAATAATAATAATAATAATAATAAATAAACACCCACAAGTCTAAGTCGCTACATGGTCAATACTATCAGTTAATTGACACTGGTTTACTAAACACAGGATTAACATTTTCTTGTTAATAAATTAATAAATAAATCGGCCGGGCTAAGATCTGAAACGGAAGGCGCTTTATTTGCGGTGCAGGATGGTGTAATAAACACCATTGCTTACAGGAAGAATGTGTTAAAGCTTGACGTGGAGGACGATAATTGTAGAGCATGCAAGCAACGACCCGAGACGATAATGCATATAATATCGGCGTGTTCTCAGTATGCCCGAACGGAATACATAACCCGTCAAAATGCAGCCCTTCGGGAGCAGGCATTACTACGGTATCGACCGGGCCCCGGTCCTGCCTATGCAGGTGGGGACATCGAGGCAGTTATTGAGGACGAGTCATGTCCAATCTGCATTCCCAACATTGCGTAAAATAAGCGCTAATAAACCAGATTTAGTTTTGTTGGATTATCGAGCAAAGCAATTATTCGTGATTGAATTTTCTGCCCCTGGTGATCAAAACATATCAAACAAGGAGCAGGAAAAGAAACAAAAATATCAAGAGCTGCTAGAAGACCTTAGATAAATTTATGCTGAGCACACAGTAAAACTTGTGGTTTTGATCATTGGATCATTGGAAAATGCAGAAGGCGGTGGCTCGAAGAGCCTCTGCCCGTATTTAAGCCAGGAAGTCGGAGTCACCGAGCGGCCTTTCTGGAATAATAATAATAATAATGACAGTTTATCTACAAATAGTAATAGCACATGAAATAAGTCGAGCTACATAAATAGTAAATAAACAAGGAAAAAGCTCACAAAATATAAGCAAATGAACATTGATTTTTAAACTGAAAACCACATATATATAAACAAGAAATTAAACATCTGACAAAGCATGAGTCCTCATGTCAATGTCAGGCGGGAACTCACCAAATTAACTTTTTAATTGTTTTAGTTTAAATTGTAATTATTACGTTTGACATTAAATTATGTATTTCGTTTAATAAGTTTGATAAAGATGTTAATAAAAAAACATGATGCTGATAAAAAATGAGGCTAAGCATTTAATTCGACAGACACCTTATGGAGTCAGGAGTTCTCAACAAAATGATCTTTGAAATTGACACAAATTTTAGTGGTGCGTTAATTTAAATATATGGCGACTTTTAAAAGTATCGGATATAAATATAGCATTTGTTTGTACTTAACATACTCACAAAAAATTGAAAACTCTCATGTATTAACCAAAAGTAGCTACTGTATACAGTGAAGGGCTAAAATATAATTTCTTCTTGAGCATTTTTGGCAGCAAACAGAAAATATACAGAACGCAACTTAAATCCCACGTTTCGTTTCGATGGTACATTAACTAAACAAAACTGTGTGTATTGGAGGAGAAATAATAGTCCATGGATAAGAGAAATTCAAACACAACAACCACAAGAATTGTTTGGGTAGGGATTTTGAATAATAAAATCATTGGACCTTATTACCGATATTTACAATTTCTTCATTAGCAGTTTCTCCCAAATCCAAATTAGGGTGATATGCCAGACAGAGAGATTTTGTTTTAACAGGGGGGCGCTCCGCCCCATTTTGATCGTAATTGCGGTATTTCCTGAACAGTGGATAGGTAGAAGGGGATCAGTAGAATGTCCTGCAAGATCTCTAGATATTACTGGATTTTTCTCTAATGGCGATTTTTTAAAATCAAAATTGTACCAGGAAGTAAATTAATGACATAGGGTATAGGGTTTGCTACATGAATTATGCTTGAAATTTAGCCCAGAACTCGAAAATGGATTTCAAAAAATAGCTTTCTATTTAAAAAAAAAAGGATTTTGTATAGACATATAATTTTTGACTCACCTGGTATATTTTCAATTTAATGCAAAAAATGTACAACAAAAAATTATGATGGAAGTATGAAATACGAATTTGTTCATCTAGCTTACTTACTGCGGATTCGAGAATTTTAATTTTACTCTACTCTTACTCAGGAAACGTCGAGCGATATTCAAATTTCAAAAGGGTTTTTCTACGCTCCCGTTTTGGAAGTAGAACACGAATCGGCTTTCATAACGGAGAGAATTTACGAGTTATTCGAAAACGGACGATTTAATAAGGTGCCAGTTATTATGGGCATCAATGCTGAAGAGTCCATCGGACTGTTGGAAAACGGTGGTATGTCCGTGAGGGTCCGTGAGAGCGCCTCCTCCTGACATAATAATTTTCAGATGTTCTTTCGGAAATCTTTAATGATTACGACAACTTTCCGAGTATCATGACTCCTTTCGATTTGCATTTGGACAACGTCACGAAGGATACTGTCGGGCACTTGATAAAAGATTTCTACGCAGGCGAAGAAAATTTTAAAGACAATTTGGCACTTGGAATTCACGTAAGGATACATGGTACTGTTAGTTTCTAAAATGTTAACATAAAATTGAAGGTGTTTTAAAACGAAAATGAATGTATTAAATTAATATTTTGAATCCACGACTACCACTGCCCGATTTCAACAAATCGAGTATAAAAATGCAATTGTAGACGCGGGGGTGCCCAGGCAATTTTATACACATCTGTGTGTGAGTTTTGCGTTAACCGATAAGTTAATGTTTAAAAAAAAACAGCAGAACAGCGTTAAATTACTATCTACTCCAGATACAAAAATAAAACAAATGACACCAAAACCATAATGCTTCATCTTTGACTGCGCTCTTAAAAATATCCTGTATCTTCAGTTCCACTCTGCACATGATTTCGAGAAAGCCTCCATCAAACAAGCCCAGCTGCAGGCTCCGTATGTCCAGGTTTATTTTTACGAATTTACGTACAGTGGGCTGATGGGTAATAACAAGGATAAGTTAGCAGGTACGCATCGTTACTACCAGTCTTACTTTGGGTCCGCATGCATCCCAACATATGCGTTTCATCGATAGTCGAAAATTTGGTGGTTTCATTTTTCCCAGAACATTTAACGACATCGGGACATATTTTTAGCAAATTCTGCCATAAAAATGCGAAACCTGTTGAAACTGGAGGTAGTTAGTTTCTTTGAAATGGACAATGGTTCAAAAAGGAGATTTCAAATGACCGCGTATTTTGAAAAATGCGCTGCAAAATCTATTTAGGATTTTTATGTGGTACTTTTTTGTTGTGACTCTTATATTTTGTTTATAAACTTGGCCGATTTCAATCCATTAGTAACATGGTCATTAGATTGGAAGATAAGCAAGATGTGCTAGTTCCATAACTGCTCATTTTTACAGCTCATCTCATGTATATTTCTAACGTATCCATTCCAAATGTCGCTTAACGTAGATAACTTACATTAGATAATACATTTATAACTTATAACACATTAAACCTCAAATAATGAAACAAATCAACTGTGGCCGTTTATCCAATTGCAACAAAAGTATCACAAATAAATTACAAGAATAAGAAATAATAGGCAACATAGCTCTAGGAACAGAAATAATTGTTGGTCAGTATTCGGTTCTTTTTACTTAATAACAGGCAAGCAGTTAAGATAAGAATTAAGGTGCAAATAGTGACAATTTGTTGGTGGGGGCACAACAATAAATGTGTTTGGTTAAATTTATGATGTTATCAAAGTTTGTACCTCGGTTAGTAAATTAGAATAAACAATATTTGAGTGCATCAAGTACATAACAGCTGTCATACTTCAATAAATAATTCTTTTTTTTTAATTTCTCTGTTTCTCTTCAATTTTTGAAAGATGTTGAAAATGGTTGGTTGCCTACTGAGTATTTTTGGCGCTTAAATTTGCCTGCTAAATTTAATTCCTTGCAGCATTAGACAAAAAAATAAAAACACTTAATCGTTTTTTCCATATTTTGGCGAATTACACTAATGGTTTTGGAAATCTTTTTAGCACTAATACCGAAAGAAATTTTTTTTTTTTGGATTTAAATTTACAAGATTAACACTGAGAGTGTAGAAAATTTAAATTAAATTTAATGTTTAAACTTAATAGAAATTAAGTTGCAGGATTTGGCACCATAGCAATCGTTTTCGTTCTTCATTATTTCATTCTGCATGGTCCAGTGACAAAACAAGGATTTTATACCAACTTATCACAATTATATATATATATATATATATATATATATATATATATATATATATATATATATATATATATATATATATATATATATATATATATATATATATATATATATATATATATATATATATATATATATATATAACACCACATGATAAATACATCTAGCTACTAGATAGAGCTGCATGTATTTGTCATTTGGTACACTACGGATGCGTCTCAGGGATGCATGTGGTTCCAGCCTTTTTTGCATAGAAAAATATTTTACCATGTTTTTGATTTACTCGTGGTTACAAAATTTAGATACCGGCAATGTGACGCACGGTGAAGAACTGAACTATTTGTTCAGCAAGTGGTACAGTCCAGAAATTCCGGATAACACCGACCTGACCTATTTCCCTGAAGACGATAGAAACGTTCACTATTATCTGATAACTTTATGGACTAATTTCGTCAAATATTTGTAAGTGCGATGTGTTGTTTCTAAATCTTCTAATCTGTTGTACCGGTTCGACCTTTTCCCTGCTAATTTTTCTATCGGCAAAGGTTGTATGGGTTTTATTTTCATTTTGCGATGATACTTAGAAACTAAACCGTGTTAAACCTCGTTCAATAAAAATAACTTTGTCACTGATGCGTTAAATTATGTTGGGTAATAGACAGGGTGTATTACGGTTGCCGGTTTTTATTTTTTTAATGGGGCAACATGTGTATCGCTAGATTTTCCTCTCCGCTGTCACTTGCTCATCATTTGGGTAACATACTTTCCTATACCTATCTCTATCGGTTTTTGAGTTATTATTTATTTTTAATATATTCAGGCTGAAGCAGAACATAATTTAATTTATTATTGTTGGGCCAGAAAGCTGAGTTTTGTCTGCAATTTTTCACTATCCTGGCATACCAGTCCCTGTAGAAACTTCTGCGATGCAGGATGTATTAAGAATATCTCTTTTTTTAAGAACAGATTCGTTGTCTGGACAGATGGATAGAGGAGAGCCGAAAATATTTTTATCAAAATTACTAAGTCTTATTTTCACATTAATGTTCTATCAATTCTGAGACACCACAAAATAACTAGCCAAAACTATTTATAGCTTATAGATCTTTGTAATTTTGCACCTTTGCTGCAAATGTTTTTTTATCTCTAATCGTTTATGAGTTATCATAGTTGTACCTTTTGTTAATTGACTATAGGTGTAACCGTAAGTAACTTAGAGTTCGTTGAAGGCAATTTGTTTTTTAGAAATCCAACACCAAAAGAAAACCAGATGTTACAAAACGTCAGCTGGTCTGCGGTGCAGCCTAACCAATTCCAGTTTTTAAATATCGGAAAAGATTTAGTCATGACGCTTGACTATCCGAAACGCGAGTCCTACGTTTTTTGGCAAAACATATTTGACCAATACGCTGTCAAACCATTAGATACGTTTTAACACCATATACGATTATTTTATTTTATTTTAAGTGAATGGGATGTCTTTAGTAAATACTATATCATGTAACAAGTAGTTTTTCTGTAAATTCTTTCCATACAGCACCAATACATTCACTGAGTGACGTATGATGGGAACGTCAGAATTGACAAACGTCAAAATGCCATCCGTGACTAAAATCTGTTAAAAAAATCTGATCCGAGGAAGGGTGTAAGGAGTAAAAAATAGCAATTCACTACTGTGGACTGCTGAATTCAGCCTCAGATATTTTTATACTATGGCCGAATATCAACCATCAGAACATTAAAGCAATCAAAATATCGACAGATTCTTTAGAAAATCCCTCAAAAATAGTTTTTTGAATACATCAAAAAGCGCTGCTCTAGCAACTCTAATAAAAGAAATCTGTCAACTTTGAAATTTAATTTAATAATGATTGGCACACATTTTAAAAAACATAAAGGTAATAGCGACATCTGTACAATAATAAAATAGTAAATAAATATAAATCTCAAAATGTACATAAATTCATAATCCAGATAAAAATCTTAACTTAATACTTATTACTTACAAAGGAAATGCACGTAAAGAAAAGATTATGAAATGATATTAGTAGAGAAATTAATGCCAATTCTCGTTAACACATTAAATGAACGAATAGAGGATCGCTAAAATTTCTCAAAAAAAAAAAGGTTTAACATTTCTAATCTTATAATAGACGGGTCGACGAGTGTCTAGTTTTTGAAAAATTTTAGGATTTAACGAAAAATACTGATGTGTGACATAATCAGGGTGCTCTACCGGCAAACAACAATTTCTTGCACTAGTCAATTTTCCTAAAAAGGACATCATTTAGCTCGTATATTAATATAACATTTAACCTCTTTGGTAAAAAAAATTACGCTTAATGAGCAATAAATAATATTATTTAAACAAATTTACAAGAGTTACAAATTACAATTTGCTATAGCTAAGTCGTGGGGCCAAACAGTGTATTTCCTTTCGTTGTTCAGCTATCAATATACATACCATTTTTGACATAAATTCTAGTAATTATAGTTTTCGTAGTATCAATAATTTAAACCTATATTAACAAGTTTATTATTTTGTGCTAATATGTACGATAAGTACATAATGATTTCTCTTTCTCTTCTATTTAAGTTTATTTTTGCGTATAACTAAAGTTATGCTGCCCCGCATGGTAATCAAATATTAAATATTTATAAATAATGCATTTTGTTGCAAAGTGGATAGTTGTCTTCATCTTCGTTAAGCTTGCGATATTGAAGCTTAATATCCGAAGTGGAATAAAATAATAGTTTTATGGAATAAACTTCAACACAATAATGTATCTAATATGGCAATTATTTAGCAATAAATTAGAAAGTTGCATTGTCAATAATATTCTCATATACAGGATATGCCAGAAAAAGTAAATATATGATTTTTCGTATGGAAGAGGGTATATACATCCCTCTTTATATATGATTTTTTTAACGCAAATTTTGACTACCACGTTTATAATAATAAACACTTTCCTTGTAACCTAGATTAGAAATGTGCTGAATATGAGTTTATATTGAACATTTATTCGAATGAATTTTGTATGTTTCGAGAATAATTGCCTAGAAAATGCCAATTAATTTTTAATTAAAAAGCTAAAAATTGCTACTTTTGCGATTTGAAATTTCCATAAAATAATAGTATTTGATATTTAGATTGTGTTTTAAGCTATTCAAACCAACGTAGGTACCTAATAAATACAAAAATGCCGATATCCCCAGATGCCAGATAGATTGGCTTATATCGAAAGCAAGCATTTGATGAAGAAAAAAATAGATATATGGTGTTTTGAATTTTCTTCATTCTTCCCCAGTATATAAGACACCCTGAATAGCGCTAAGTGTATTAATTTAAGTAGTTAAAAATGTAGAGTCAGCAATATTTCTGCCAAAAATCAACAACATTTTTCACAAGAATTAGACACGCATGTGTGAAAATAATTTTAGGTTATAGTATCAAGTGCCTACTCAATGTTGCGACACCTTGCGTATTTAAGATTTTTGTACGTAAATTTTGAACTTGATTAAGGATAACAATATATTAGCCGTAGAAAACAAATTCGCTAAGAAATGAAAGCTTCAATATATTTCTAGTAAAGGATATATAATAAACGAACTTTCTAAAAATGCATGAAACCATATTGACAACAATTTTAAAGGCCGTTAAGCTTTTAGTTTCGAAAGTAGTGGAAATATGTAAAATTCTGACATAACAGAGGAGCGAGTTGAGAAATAAAATCATAAGATCAACGTCCGTAATAAAGTAACCCACAAACCTATTATAATCGATCTATCTAATTTCTATTCCAAGGAATTTCATTCGGAAATATTCGGCGTGGAAATTAGTATTTTGAGTATTATTTCCAGCTTTATTTCCGGGTAATCCAAAAAATCAACAAGCTTAGCACGCGCTCCAGGAATATAGGTGTTACTGTTTATATCAGGAAGACTTTGCGTCTATTTTTACCATTAGCAACAACTATTAGCTGTATTTGGTATCCCAAACTAGTGAAGTTTACAGGTAGATGTAATATGCTTACCCGATTTAGTAATGAAATAATTGCTAAATCACCAAAGAATTTACCAGGACAACTAAGTATTTTAATATTTATTTAAAACTTATACGAACCTACCAGAAAAATGGAATGGGTTATCATTTTAATTCTTAAAAAATATCCTAGAAATTTATTTTACTTTTCATTGCGACCCAATATGATTGATATATAATTTTACACACATTTAAAATTTATTAGAATAAGCCTCATATGCATATGTACCTATATAAATCCTTCGAAACGTTACCCATAAATTAAAAAAATGGGAGCAGCACAGTACAGGAACTAACTTTACATTTAATGGAAAAAAAATATATAATTATTTAATTATTAGTCTCATGTAACGATATCACAATTTTAATATTGCAATAAATTTTTAAAATAGCAAGATATGCTCACATTACTATGTAAAAATGTTTAATAAATTTTAAAGTCCAAGCTTGCCCGAAATTTGTTCTATTTAATTAGCAAGCCCATATCCATTGACTAGAGAAATTTAATTTTAATACGGCACATAACTACGAATATTCCTGGGCTACTAAGGTGATACCTCATGAAAAGTCATCAATGTTATGTCAAAACTAAATTTCGATTTTACAAGCTAGAACTATTCTCCTACTAGTGCAAGATTGCACCGCGTTTTGTAGCGCGCTGTATTGTCTGGGACATCAACAAAACGTTAAACGTTTCCTTTTGAAACTACGAACGTGAATGACGTTGACGTTTATAAATTACTTTTAAAGCCTGTTTTTACAACTCCTTAAAAGTGAAAATGTGTAGTAGGACCTAACATTAGATAAAAATCACACGTAGCGACATTTTTGTTTTAATAACTGCATTTATAAATCACCTTGTAAATTTGATCTATAATGCGACGACTCAATGCACGGTTATGAAGCACTTAAGTTATACCCCACTTAAATATCAAATTAAACCACACTTAAACGACAAACATTGCTAACAACGTCAGTAAGATCCAGTACACTATAAAAGTTCATTAAAATTTGCTACTTTCTGCAAATTCATCTTTATTAATTATTGTCTATTAGATTTATTCATATTAATAAACGATTAGAAAGTTATGTTGAATGTCTATATGTCTATTACAACGTTTATATGCTTCCTTTTTGCATTTATTAATTGTTAAATCTGAACACATCCAAAGCCTGTAATGTCATTGCTGCTTAATCATTTTGTAACATCACCTTGGTAGCCCACTAGATCAAATACAAGTGCTTGCACCATTATATTAGTATTTATACACTAAACATTCAATCGTTAGCCCAGGCTAGTCCGTTCACTTTCGGCAATTACTATTGAATGGCGACTATCCATCATCAGCTAGTCAAAAACCGGACCCTCATACCCAACACAGGAAGACACTTGATCATACCCTTCACTCGCTAACACTGGCCACCAACAAGAGCCCAATATGTCTATAAAAAAGGAATGTAGGACCAATATGACGCCCCATCCCAGAGGTTTCCTAGAAGGTATCTTACTAGTGGTTTGGCTAGGTATATTCCGTAAAAAAATGTAAAAATTAGCGACTACCGACAGATTAAAAAGTTAGTACGTTCAGCAATCCATTTGGAATAGTTGGAAGCTGTCGCGTCTCATTTATCCTACCAAACGAACCCAGCCGTACACAGTAAATTCCTGCTAGAGAACAATTTGGGATGAGTGCTTTTCCGTATTTGAATTATGAGATTCAGCCGCCGGGAGGCGGAGCTCTGTCAGTCTCCTCGTGTGACAACCCGCTCTTATCGCGCACAGCACTAGGTACAGTAGTCCAGCTAGTCGGTAAAGAAGTCTTATCGATGAAACTGTGTGAGGTCGCGCGCCCTCTGCGATCGCCACTAACCGAGTAGAACGCTGCACTACTGGCACTACTAGGAGCGTCTCTAGTGGTAGCAACCATGCCGTCAAATCCAACCGGGTCTGGTGAATCGTTGCCGCAATGGTAATTATAACTACAGCATAGCACTCCGTTCTGTAAACATAACAACGAAGGGGACGTTAGTTTTTCGTTTGGGGATTTGGGTGACTGTGCTTGGCGAAAAGGGTCAGATTCGATTTGTGGCTTAGATCGCAGATAAGGTTTTCGACCGTAAGGCTCACTTACATTATGTCACGACTGAATTTAATTTTGTATGCTGTACTTGGTAATTTACTAGAGCTATATTTAAACTAAAGAGTTTGTTGGACAGTGCCATAATGCCCAATGCGTATTGGCAGCTACCAAACTGTGAATTTGGTTGTCCCTTAGTCGAGTTTTGCTTTAGTTCTTGAAATAAATAGGATATTAGAGTTTGTTTCATATAAGCCGAGAGGAATGCAGAAATAGCAATAATTTCTACTATGACCAAGATTCAGAGGGAAAAAAGCCTTTTAAAGGCTATTCGAAGGCTAACAGAAGCAAGTTTGAGATCATCTCCCTACTTACAAGAAATAGTGGTTTCCCTCTGACAGCGTAAAAGCAATAGTTATTATAACCTGGGGTATTTAATAAAATCTCTACAATTGAATTGGAAATAAACAAAAAGCATTAATATTTAATATATAACAAAACAAAATTAACATACACATTTTGTTTATGGACCGACAGATACTGGTACAGAAATTTAAAAAATGCCGCATTGGGTCTTAAGCTGACAATGCGATCTCTTAAGTTACATTAAGATAGAATCTTTCGAGTTGATTTCAAGCTGATTTCTATTTCTCTACATAATTATTATTGATATTTGCATTTCATTTTCTACTTATTTTTGAAGCATAGTCAACTTGACCAAGTAAAATGAAATATGCCCGTTCCTTTAGACGGTTATCGAGAGCTGGCAAAAGTAATTAAGTCATCTTTATTTAAAAAATAAATAGTTTTATCAATTTTCATCCATTCTGTTGAGATTTTTTTTGGGCCCATCAATATTTTTCTGTGCTTTATGATTGCATTTCAAATACGAATTATTATGAAATATAAAAGTAAGCCGAAATTTTAATTAATATTAATTAATATCAGCTGCCACGTTAACGGCTGATGTCAACAACTATTGTCAAACATTTTTTATAGTGTTTTGGTTTATTTTTGGTGTTTTTATATATTATATTGTTAATCTGTTTAGACTTCTTGATATATTAAAATTGTTTAAGGGTTTATTTGTATAAATTCAAATAAGTAGTAAATTAAGAACTACGATTTTCGTACATAAAAAAATTGTCCATTCTAAGATCTTTAAATTATACTTTATGGGAAATTTTGACACCATATCATCAAATAACAGGCGCTTAATAATTCAATGCGGCACTTTCACGGATCCTTTACGCCATCAGTACGGCAGAAAAATGTCGGAATTACTTTGATCAAACATTAACTAAAGAAAAAAATAAAAGAAATCAACATTATAAATGTACCTTGAGCCAGCTAGATAGCATAAATAAAAAATATAACCGCATCGAATCTGACCAATTAAACTACAACTCATGGTGCAATCCCTCAAATTATTTTTAAATTTCTTAAAACTTTTAAAATTGACATTGTGCGTGATAAGGGAATTCAAATTCGCAGTAGTTCATTATCAACCGAATTTATATTATAAAAAAACGATACTTACAGTTGTACAGTATGGTCTTTCAATTTGTATTACAATATTTTTTTTAATCTATCTACTTATTTAAGAAAACGAAAAAATACAACCGAACGTAGTCTACATGCCAAATTCTTCTATTTTAATATATATCGAAGCTACGAGGCTAATGATCAATAAATTGTGCGCTCAATAGATCGCAAACTGTACCAACGTAACGTCAATAGAAAAAAATAATTTCAGTTGTATCCCTACCGGCGATCAAGTGTAGACCAATTTTAATTCTAAGTATTTTTGTAAATTAAGCAATATTAAAAAATACTCGTTTCAAAATAGTTAAAACCAAAAATTTATTGACAGTGTATAACACGAGAAGTAGATCCAGCCTCTTTCTCTTAACGATTCCATCATATGAAAGGAATTTCAGAAAGGATTAGACGAGCAGCAGAACGTTAGAATGCATTAAGTCAATCCAGAAATGCAGAAATATCGACTCAAGAGAAAGAGTGTATCTACCAGATACCCTACGAACTGGAGATATTTAATTTATTTTTATATTTAACTGGAGATAGTTAAGTCTTAGAATTAAAATCAGTCTGCACTTGACAAAGGGCAGTTATACAACTGCTCGAAATATTGTGTAAGTTCAAAAAACAATTCCAAATTCGATGCGAGGATTTGTTAAACCAAGATGCATTATACAGACTAAATTTATAATTTTGGATGCTGTCATTTCCGATAATAGGTAAGGGTCAAGCTAAACCTAGCACTGGTAACTAACAGTAGGCATGCATAGTATCTTAGAGCAATACACATCTATAGAAGTGCTCAGTAGGTATACTCGTTCGCAGCCATGTTTATGGATTAAATTTGTTTATTTTTAAATAAAATTTTTCGAAACGGATGTTTTGCAATGTTGATTGGAAAATTGAGACATGGCCAACGCCTGTTGTGAATAAAAGATACTAATTCACGCACTATAGTTAAACTTAGTAGTATTGGTTCGTCCAATTTTCAATTCAACTCGAGCGCACAAAAAAGTAAACAAGCTTTAAACAACTTAATCGGATAATACAAAGTCAAGCACTACTAGAGGTGTGTATATTTCGTGTATTAGAGTGATTTGTGATTACCGATGCACACAACACGCGACATTGCTCACCAGTTCTGCGCAGTACGGCACCTGCAAGGGAACGTAGTGTTAATTGTTAGTAACGCCTAGCAAATTAGTAGCAAGCCAGCCAGCTCTCAGGTATACGCGTTCTATGCGGCTAGCGGTGGCCATAATACCTTGCAGCAAAGCCACTAATAATAATTGTTTTCCCTCAAGACTGTTTTGTCTCGATAATACCTGCATTAAGGAAAACCAATTAAATACCACCTCTCCAACTTAAAAACTATCTATACTCTGGATATTAATTCCAACTTATATAATCTATTAAAAGTTCTGAAGAAGTAACACTTTTTTATTTGTATCTAGCTTCATCTTTAAAATACACACTAAAAATTAAATTATGAAATTAATAAAACAAAATATATAAATAGAAATTAAATGAAAAAGATACACGTCATTTTATCTGATCAATATGCCCTTAAAATACATGTATTAAATTTTGAAATACCCTGTAAATCACATCCCCTGGTAAGGAGCCCTCTGCACAAAATATAGAAAAAAACAAAACAAACATAGAGCGACAGGTGTTGCGTATACCCGCGATAAATTACTCGTTTAAAATAGATATACTTATTCTCGGTACAGGATACCAAACGACCCTTTTCACATAACAACACTTTATTTATTATTTTTTTGACGTATTCATTTCCTTGACTCCTCGGCCAAACCGCGCTGTTCCCAGCTTATAAAATAATCCTAACATTGACGAAAATATAAGGCAATGTTCGCGACAACAGGTTTCACATCCAATAACTTACATTTACAACACTCTTCCGATAAGAATTTGGTAACAAAATTGTTTCATTAGTCAACATTAGTCAAACTTTTGACATCTCAATCAACATGCTGAATTGTATTTAGTGTGTGGGTGAATTTCCTTATCTTGCAACATAAATGTCAGTGTCAGTTTTTTCAGATTCAAGGGAATATTTTCAAATTCGCTGATGACATTAAATTTATTCAGTACTACTTGAAATGAAAAATAATAAATTAGTTGAGAAAATTTTTCAATGAAACTTCCACAGGCTCCCGTAATACCCAAATAACCAAATGTTTAGCCGTTACCGCTGATTCGTTTCGCGCTCTTTTATTTCAACCTACGGATTCCTAGCAATTGCTCGCAGCACTACGGGGATTTCCCAAAATTGTGCGCTAGGTTTCCAAATAATGATGAGATGTTGGCGGACGCACTTCATCATTTGAAACATTTGTTGACTAGTATGTATAAATTTATGTAATACCATAACGATTAATATAGCGACAAATATTACGTTCTTCAGTTTTTATCATGGGTGATTATAAAAAACAAGAAAAGAAAGCAACCAGAACAAGCATTTCACTAGAAACTAAAATAGAAGATTTGATTCTGGTAAAAGTCAAATTAGTGCTACGCTGAATATAATAATAAAAATAAAGCGGCAACTGCAGCAATAAAATTTTAGAGGAAATGGGAAAACGACTGTCTATATGGATTGACGATGAAATTGAACGCAATATGCTCATTAGGCCACTCTACCATAAAGGAAAAAGCTAGTAGAATTTTTAATTACAATCAGGCTGAGGCAAGTGATATAAGTAAAGCTTTCGTTGCTAGTCGAGTGAATTACCAGAATTACATTAAAATCTATACTCAAGAATTTATTTTTAACATTGCTGAAAGGAGTCTGTTTTGAAAAAAAAAAAGTTCTATCCCATGAAGAGAACCGAGCGCCAGGATTTAAAGCTGCCAAAGATAGCTTAACACTTCTACTGGCTGGTAACGGAAGCGAAAATTTACAATTAAAACTACTACTAGTTTACCACTCCAAAATCCCAATGAAACTGTTACCTGTAATTTGGAAGTCTAATAAAAATCATGGATAACTATGAAAAATTTCCAGAATTGGTTCACTGAACATTTATTATTGCGAAATTAAAACTTGAGCAAAGAGCACTAGTATTAATTGATAATGCTCCAAGCCACCAAACAAATTTATCAGACTTAACAACAGCCATTCCAATCCAACCAACGAACCAGAAACAGACGAATAAGAGAAGCAATCAATAAGAGAATTTTCGTAAAAACTCCAATATCACGAATGCTTTAGAAAACATAAACCTTTCTTGGAATGACGTAGTTGAAAGATCTTTGAAAGGAGAACATTTGGCCAGATTTAAGTAAAAGTGAAGATATTGGACACTGTCGATATGGATGAAATGGTGCAATTAGCTAAACAACCCGGCTTAAAAATGGAAGATGTCGAAGAAAAGTTCAAGAAAAAGCAGCTAGTCTTTCTGATGAGGTCAAGGAATTTCCTGTCCAAGAAAAAAACATAAATATTGATAGTAGTGCTTTCGAAGAAAAATACAGTAACTTTGATGGCGTTTGTATAAAAGAGTTTGATCATCTCTAACTGGTATTATGGAGCAATTAATTGGAAATTACCCAAATTTTGACAGGAGTTCAAGAGCAAGACGGGCAACTTTTAACATTTGATGATTTGATACCTTCTTGACAAAAAGGCAGAAAATTGGAAACACAGAACGGACTGAATAATCTGATTGACTTAGAATTTTGTTTGTTTTTATTAGTATATTCGTTTATATTGTCTTTATTTTTCTAAGAAATAAATATTTGGTTTTATTTTTATAAAAAAAAAAAAAAAACATAATTGTTAAATTTAATACCCAACCAATATTCTATCCATCTCTATATGTATCTGTATCAATATAATGCCGTATTTTTGTTAGTGTATAACAATTCATAATTATAAATTGTAATCATAAATTAAAATTGATCCAAGCAAATGTATAACTTTTTTACTTATTGAACCATCTTTCTATTATAATTATGAAAAAAAAAAACAAAATACAACAAGAAAATTATGGCATATAATAGCGAAATTAAGGTGTAATTGTAGTCCTGAACACTATAAACTTTACATAAATCTTTCTAATTTACAAACGTTTTACCAGAGAAAATTTAGCTTAATCTCTTTGTTTTAATACTGGGGCCACAGTGTACGGCGCAATGTGCTAAACAGATTTGCTTAATTCAGTATGAAAAAAATATGTGAAATATTACTTTCCATACAAACATATTATTTCTTACTGTCAAATAATCATAAATAATCAATGAACACGGAAATTTACCGATATAGAGATTGTATGTTAGTTCCCCACAAATTATTAAAGGCTGATTATCAATTTCATGAACTTAAAGTGTTTGGATTTTCTAATTTTTTGGTGATAATTTGAAAGATTTGCCAGAAGCACGTGAGTGAGAAAGCAGAGATAGAACAATATCTCTGTTGCTTATGAGGATATGAGGAAAACGAATTAAAATGACTTTGCTGCAAGATACAAGTCGTACATTAACTTGATGGAAATCTACATAAAAACATTTTAGATGAATGTGTGATGGGCAACGTATATAGGCGCGCAAACATCTGCGTCTAAGTTTTTATGCACCAAGCAAAGTATGGGCGTTCAATTAAAAATTACCCCGGAACGACAACATTTTTAATTGAACCCCACTGTTACATTTAAAACGGTACCTTCTGGTCGGAAAATTAATCCGGTTAAATAGTAAGCAGACCCAAAAATACATATATTGTACACTGATCCTATTCTATTCTAACTTCTATAGATGGGCTTCGGTAGGATACTCACCTTGCAATTGCAGGTGACGCAGGGGTCGTTTGTGTCGACGAACTGAGCCCCCGACTCGTGGAGGACCCCGCCGAGGATGCAAGGCTGTCCTCCCCAGCTAACCGTCGAGTTACCCAAAGGACACAGATCTTCACAATGCGGGCAGCAATCGCCGGACGAGTGAACCGGATTGGAACACAGTAGTGGGGGGCATTTAAGTTCCCAACAGTCAACTTCACCGTAAAGGCATTCGCACGTCTGGCACTGGTAGGACCACCTTTAAAACGAGCAAAATTATTTCTAAATTGCTTTATATCATTTAAAATATTAGGTATCCTTCAAATTATAATAAAACGCAAACAAACTAAAACAGGTAAGAGATAAAAAAATAACAAAAATAATAAATGAAAATGGCCCATAATTGATAATTTCATTAAATGACCTATTTATAAAATTTTCTAAAAATATCCGGTGTGCAATCACCGCCATAAATAATCACCCATTGTTTTTAAACATCCCGCATGTACACGATTCCTATGCGGTTAATATCTTGAAAACTGTTGGCGATACAAAAAAATAAATAAATTACGAAGCAAAATTAATGTGAAGTTAATGTAAAGTTATACTTTCTTCCTACAAAAGCTGTAGAATTGTAATGTTAATTCTAAACACATATTGTATCCATTATGTTGTACTAACTTGTGATGCAGAATAATTGCATAAGTTAATATAGGCAGTGAGCGCTACAACGGTGTTCAAAAATGATATGTAAATTTATTTATTCCACAGAGTCCCCATCAAAACTTCCGTTCAATACTCTTTATCTATCTGTAATAGTTTCCGAGATATTTCGAATTTTGTGTCTATTAGGTACATAAGTTAGTTTGAATAGAATAACCACATGGGAAAATACTCTTCCAAATAGTTATCACTAAATTTCTTCTTATAAAAAAAGTATGTACTTTTTTCCAGTTCTTTAGAAAAAATACAGTATTTTACTTTACTTTTTTTACTTCACTTTACCATTATTTCTCTAACATTTTAGCTTTTGTGTACACATAGGTACAACCTGTACGTGTGTGCGTTAAAAATTATATGCATTTTTTTTTTGGAAAAATTCGATTAACTTGATATGTTTATAATGAAAACTTTGACATATGAGGTTTCAAAATTTCTTACATTCTCCCAATATTTCGGACACCCTGTAACTATAGTAAAAAATCATATTTGTGCATCACAAAGTAAACTGCGCCCAAAATTTTTCAAAAGATCCTGCAGTTCATGAAAATAATTTTAGATTGTGGGTCTGATCCATCTGTCTAACTTTTTAATTTAATTATTTGCCTAACGGAAGGCGTTTCCAATATATCACGACGCACTATCAAAATATTCTTTAAGTGATTTGCCGATTAGTTCCTACTAATTAAATTTTTTACAAAAACCCCAAACCCCTGAAACTAAATAGTTATATCAAAATTGCCTACCTTTCTCCGTGCATCAAAATCACATCATTCAATTCTTGATGCCGGCACGCATGCCTACGATCGCACTGAGGACAACATAGATTAAGGTCAGTTCCGGGTTGGTCGCAATCGCATTTCGGCCTTTCACAGCGCATTACGCCTTGTCCGCAGCTGCAGCTAAGGCAAGGGTCACGACTGGATGGAATGGTCAGTCCATCTGTCACCTCGCGACCTTCAAACACACAACTTCTTCGGCAGTCTTTGGAATCGGCCGAACATTCGCACCGAAATCCTCCTTCGGTATTTACACATAGTGCCGAGGGATGACACGTGTGGTGATCTATTTCGCATTCGTTTATATCTAAGAAAGGGATGCGTATTAAGTGCGGTTAAAATCTAAGTATAGAGAGTGTCATTGAAATGACATGGCATCATAATGTTTTTACAAGCGTCGATAAGGAAGATGTTAGAAAATATAGGCCTATAACTAAGTTGTCTGTCTTTCGCAAAATTCTATGATATTATTTTAGGTGTTTATGTGTTATCTGGGCGGTTGACAGTAAAGGCCAGGTAGACGTAGTAACACCGACTTAAATCATTCACCAAGATAGACCTTCCATCAAATATTGTTTATTAGGCTTGCAGAGATCGGAATGGAGGCTGCTATGGCTAGACTGCCAAGCTCTTACATTAGGAAAGGAAGAGCAGACAAATCAGAGTTTTTTGACATCATATCAAGTGTGTTTCATGTTTCAAACATTGTAAAATACTACTCTTCGCCGATGACGGTAAAATATACACCAAGATTGAAACCTCCGATAACTGTCTAAATTTCCAAAAAGACCTTCTGCACTTGGAAAAATACTATTAGAATAACCACCTGTTCATGAATAAAATATTAATAACACCAACTTAGAGAAGTTTGGCGCAGATTAGAGATCTGGGGGTAATGTTGAATGAAAAATGCACTTTCAAAACTCAATAGATTTTGAAAATCGCTTCAGCCATTTGGAATCCTAATTGTAACATCCACATCATTAGGGTTCTAATTGATATTAAACTATCGAAACAACATACGAGAGAACTCTCCAATCACCAGAATACAAAGTATATTTAATTTTCATAATTATTTTCTTCTGATCGATATTTCTGTTACTCCTATTAAAGGTTTTACGTGTCGGATGACAAAAATATTCTCTAGGATATAATAAGGACACCCTAATTCAAGTATAAACTTCTGATAGTCTTTGTGTTACTTTGGATAAAGCTATTAATTTTGTGCAGATAATTGCTAAAGTTTAGATTTATTTGTGAACCTCTCTTTTTAAGATGCAGTGGGGATGCTTTTCGGGTACGTTGTACTGCATGCAACCCAAATCATCAATAAATAAATATGTATTAAAGAGCATTTTGATTCGCAGAATGTAGTATATGTAACCTGTAGAAGATTCGAATTTGAATCTTTGTAGGACACATATAAATATTTGATGTTATTAAAGACTGTAAATGCAAACTTTTCGGTGGTCCTGATAGAGTGCATTCAATTTTTGTTTTGGTAAAACGTTTATTTTTTCATTTATGAAGCCACTACATTTGCACTTCAATCTTTCTTTGGATACTGCACCATGTCCAGTCTTGTCGACGCATACTTTTATTACATTAACATTTACATCCGGCGAGCGAGGTGACATTAAAAATTATATACACTCAGTAATACCTAAGCTTTGGGATTCGTTATTTACATGTCTCCTTACATTCCAGGGGACTCTCTTTGCCTTTGCAAATAATCTTCAGGTTGGTTGGTTTTTTATACAGACTTGTCAAATGCTTTCGATAGTCAGTCAAAACTCACTAACAGCCAAGACAAGTGGCTTTGATTTAAGTGAGATTATTGTAAAGTAAATAATAAACAAGAATAAAAATAATATAATAATAATAATAATAATAATAAAAATAAATAATAAATAAGTAAATAAACGTACATAACAATGAGCCATCAATCAATAAGGTAATATCAGGCGATATTGATCTTTTATCTGGTGCACCACATGGATCACACTGTTGTTCAATCTTTTATATAAATAAGTTTGTTATGTTTGCTTTAATGCTTAAACTTAAAAGTATTTTAACATGCCATTTTTGGTTGGTAAAGCTTGAATGAGCTAATACTATTGCAACACATTTTGTAGAAAGACTTCAACAACTTAATTTGAATATAAAATAAATTCCTCTCTTTAAGGGAGTGAACGAAGTTAATGCCCTTGGATTCATACCAAAGTTTTTTTTTATGAATCGTATAAATGTTCTTACTGCATTTACTTACCAACGGCTGAAAATGATTATTAGAACGATATATAATCATTTTTCATAAACGTTCTGCTTGTCATCGCACGTGCATCGGATTATACGGGGTGTTATTGAATTGAAAACATATAAATAAACAAGTGGCAGATAGGTAGAAATACTCACTAGAACGTTTGCTGACTGGTATTCGGAAAAAATGATTCAAGATTTGGTACAAAATAATTATCGTGCCGAAGGGATGATATAATAAGATGCGATAAGCCCAAGCGATAAGATGCCGGGTTGCCCAAACAAAACCCAAGTAGTCAAAAACTATACAAAGGTTTCCCGATTAATTTTTATCACGAAGATTGCTGGTCTCAAATTCAATTATTTGCATAAGTGCAAAGTAACTGCAGAAACCTGCATATCTTGTCTATCGTACAACCTAAAAACTATCTAAGATTTTTTCTGCTTGAAATTAATTGAAATCGATGCAGTTTGTAAACAAAGCAAAACCGAATTGACACAACACGATCCGATCGGTTAATTTTATTTAGTTTTTGAACCATAACCACTTACCGTGCACCAGATGAATAGTTTAATTAGGTTTGGTAGCTTATTTATCGAAATTAACGTGAAATATTGTTTACAAATATTTGGCAACTTTGGATTGTTCGATAGGTATCGCGATTGTCAGTCTGACACTGAGACAATAGTTATCCGGATGGGCGGGATACGACTTGTAGCGAACAAGATATAGTAAAAAACACTACACAAATACAGGGTGTCTCATCGTTCGTGGAAAAATGGGCGTTTTGCAACTTGCTGAAATTTTGGTCGTTTGGGTTTTTCACTTTCTTCGGTCGACATAGAATATTTTTAGTGTTACACTATTGCAATTGTACCAAAAAATGGTAACATTCTTGATTTTCTAAATCGATCAACCTGTATATTGTTTCCTTTTTCTCCCCGTTGTCACTTTTGATCATTTTTGTAAAATATTTCGCTACACTTATCTGTAGCATTAATAAATTTCAACATTTTTTTACTCAAACAGACCACAAATATAAATTCTTATTCCTGGGTCCTTTGAATATTTACAAATTTTCAATTTTGACTAGAATTTCCCAGGATCCTGGGTACTAGTTCCCCGTACAGGTTGGCGACAAAATTGGCATAACGTTTGAAAACTATTTTATGCCTGCAAATCTGTTAGAATAAGTATATTTAATTACAAAAGTGGGGTTAATTAGAAAACTTTACATGGAACGTGATACATGAACTAAAAGCGGCTTTAATCATTTATGCGAACATTTGATAATAGGCGGGGTATTAGTCCATTTGAAAAAAATACTTTTAATAATTTATCAACCGTAAGACACTCTGTGTAGATATATTTATATGTTTAGATAAATGTATCAACTGTAAGAAAATTAAAAGCCGTTTTAATTGATTTATTTATTGTTCAACAATAATAAATAAGAGACGTCGCTCCACCCCATAATATAAATTATACGATGGCCAGCTTATAGCCTCCACTTCAATCCATTAGACATATATGTGGGACATTTCCAAACACAACGCGTATTATCAAAATCTGGAAAAAATTCATCGAAAAATACAACAGAATTCAAATAGATAGAAACCGTATTATAAATACCATGAACAGAAAACTTTTAGAAGCAAGCAATAGAAGCTAGTTTATCAAAAGAGCTATGTATTTGCTTTAAGTACCCAGGAATTCTACGTCTTCTTATCCGGAAACTCGATTATGGAACCGGAATAGTTATAGATATATTTTCCAGTTCTTCTCCTAGACCTTTTCCGAGTCCACAGCACCTTACCACAACAATTCAATCACAGGTCCACAAAATTAAACGTTTTAACAGATGTTTTTATTTTGAAAACTGATTTGATATAATTTTGGTAGGCTGATTTAAAAAATTATCTGCATCTATTTGTATCACGTAAGGTGTTTTTTCAAATGTAAAAGGAAAAAAATAAATTATTTTTTTATTCAGTAAGAAAATGGAATCCAAGTTAAAAAAAGCGAAAAAAAAAACTTTACTGATACTTTTTGAGTGAAATCGTCGTCTTTTTTTGCCAGAAAGCTTCCTTGGTATCGGCGTTCGATTTCCTTAATGTTCTGGTGAAACGTCTCTCCCTGTTCTTCGCTAACTGCCACAAGAATTTCAGGAAAATAGTTCAATTGTGAAAACAGGAAATGCACTTTCAAACTCATATTACAACCTAGACGATGAAAGAGTGGTAACATGTTTTGAACAATACTTTCGTAGTTTTCATCCTTAGGTATCTCAAGAAACTTATTAATTACTTCTTTAAATGAAACTCAGGCGTTTTTCTCGACATTGGTCGTGTTTTGAAAATCCCTATCTTTGCATAATATTCTTCTCTGCGGCCCAACAAAAATACCTTTTTTTATCGTAGTATCATATTTTTCTAGGGCTTTAACACACTGCTTCATCAAGCTAAGTTTGATATGAAGAGGAGGCAGTAAAACTTTTTTGGTGTCAACTAAGCTATCTCTTAATACAATTTTTGCTACCAAGTGTAAGGTTTGTTTTACTCACAAATAATGCATGGAAATTTTGTATTTCCTCCCTGTTGTCCTTGGAGCATGCACAGCCCTTTACGGTCACCCCAAAGCATCCACTGATGTTCTTGGTAATATATTTTCTTCAAAAGGAGTCGTATATTTTCACCCGTTTTTTTTAAATGCACCGAATGTGCAACGGGAACCGAGGCCAGTTCACTACCATTGTGCAATAAAACGCCTCTTAAACTACGCCAATTTTTACACCAAAATAAGCGTCGTATACGTATTTCACAAAAGAAATTATAGTTTGCCTTTGCTTTGCTATGACATAACTACCATAGATAAAACAAAAGTTATATGGATTGTCCACACAATGTCTTCTTTCCATATTTATACATTCTACACTAAACACTAAAATACGCAACAACGAAGACACGCTGCGAACACAGTAGCACGACGACGAATACAACCAAACTGCGCATAAGCAGGTTACAGCGCTGCATGTACGCTTCTGCGCCAACTCGGTTTCTTTGAAGATAAATCTAATATTGTCCAGTGTTGCCAAATCACATTTAATTTCATAAAAATCAATTCATTTGGAAATCATGCCTAACATGGAACAAACATATTCGTTTCATAGGTATGCATATTAATAAAATAAGAAATATGGCGTTTTTTGGAAAAAGGGCCCAAAAAATATACAAATAAGCAAATAGCTTTCAAACATTAAAATCACTGTCGACCTATGTAATTGATGTATCCAGACCAGCTTCTTGGTTTTGGGTATTTTGCAAAATGAATATAATTTGATTTTCCGAATAAAGTAAGTACTTTACTCTTCCAACGCTATAACAATCGCCGATATACTAACCTACACATAAAGTTCCAAGATTATTGTCTGAATTAGGCCCCTCGTAGCCCGGCCTGCATCTACAGTAGTACCAACCGATCATGTTGACGCATTCGGAGGAGTTGGTGCATCTATGAGCGTTCGTCGCGCATTCATCCAAGTCTCTTTCACACGAAGATCCGGCGTATCCTCCGGGACAAGAACATTGGCCCGGCTTCAAACATACTCCTCCGTTAAGACAGGCTGGAGAACAAACAGCTGAAATGGTGAAAGTCTTAAGTTTCGGTCTCTGAGAGTTTTTTTTTGCTGTTTACTTACGCCGGCATTTGTAGCCGTCACCGACATAGCCCTCTCGACATTGACACCGGTAGCTTCCTTTCGTGTTCACGCAATCAGCGTAAGCATCACAGTTATGCGCGCCGGTAGAACATTCGTCCAGTTCTGCGCAGTTGAATCGATCGACGCGCACGTAACCTTCCAAACATTCGCATTCGTAGGAACCGTTGGTGTTCACACATCGGGTGTTGGCGTGGCAATGGTGGCCCTCGTGGCCGCCCTCTTGTTGACATTCATCAATATCTATCACCCACAATCCAATCAATGAGTGTGATTACGTCTAAGTCTAGACACGGTCCCAAAATAACATTTGACAATACGAGAGAATGAGACAATAATATATATATTATGTTGAAGGTGGTCCTTTCTCACAATATATTAAAAGTATCAAAAAAACTTAGTTACCAAAGTTTTTGGATGGATTGATTGATTTATATCTGTAAAATATTACATTGGTATATATAGAAAGTGTTTGTATTTTCGTGGGTTATTAACAACTAGCTTATTTTAAATAACATGAAATAATATTTTAATTAACATAACAATAACATGGACATTAAATAATTTTTGAATTCTTCGGAAAATTCTATACGCATACATATTTCATATACAATATATTAAGTCTCGTAGTTTCTGACATATTTTGAATTTTAGATCAAATGTCCTACTCTCTATAAATGCCTACAGATTTCTCCTAAAAGACTTTGTTATGTATTCTCTATTGAATGGGATCCGCTTTAGTGTAAAACTGCTTTGAAGAAGAAACATGGCGAAAAAATCGAGCACAACAAAAGTGAACATATTCATAGTAAAAATAAAAATTACGGTTAACTACATCTAAATTTAAACAAAAGAAATAATCGTTATCAGATCGTGTCGTTAATTAATGAAGTTGTATCGTGCATTAGCTATTTACAAAAAGTACATAGTACAAAAATTAAACGCGGAAGACCGTTTAAGCCATTCAAAGACATTTTTGTGGTTACCAAAAAACGAAGAGATCTTAGATCCCATTTCGTCAAAATGCTCAGAAGACGTTGTATTTGGTTTAAGTTTTAGAAAACACAACATTTTAAGGACAACAATGAATAATTTACATCATAATATTTTTCCTAGCTATTATAATCATTCAAATGTAATAGTAACCGGATGGGGCAGGTCAATTGACCGATCAATTCACTAGTCAAATTCGACCAAAATGTTTTAAATAACATCTTGTAATTGTAGAATGTTATCTATCATTACTTAATAATAATATTTATTTTATAATAAATTATTACGCAATTGTAATGTCCAATTTACCTATAATCCTCTTCAAGGAATACCCCAAACGACGCAACGGCGACAATGTAAAGAAATATAAATAAATAAATATAAATTCCATTGTATTTGTAAATTGATTGGTCAATTGATTGGTTAATTGATCGGTTATTTGATTGGTCAATTGACACACAAAAATTGACCGTCAATTCCACAACGCTAAGCGGATGTTCATGCAGAAGTTCAATTAAAATATTTATTCCTTAAAACCAACCACTATATTTTAACTCTGGTTGGTATTAACAGGTAAGTGAAGATTTGATAGTAGTACTGGGCATCGCACATATAAGTAGAAATTTTAAGGTAATTTTCAATTTTTAAAACTAATCATTTATTTCATTATTTTAATAAAAAAAAAATGATCGTCGATAAAACGAGTCCCAAAAAAAAATCTGTGGAAACTACTAATAGCTACTACTACTACAACTACTACTAATAAAACAAATTTTAAATAAAGTTATTATTTTCAACAATCAAGAAATATAGAACTGTATATTTTTTATAATATATGATTTTTTATAAAGGTACCATTTTTTTTTAAATCTGTTCTTCGTTTAAAGCGATGTTTCTCGCAGATTTTTGTACCTATAAATATTTTTCAGCAAATGTTTATGATAAAATTTGTTCCCCATTTAGAAAAAACTAGGGTTTTTTTTAAATCTATTTATCAGGAATTATTTAAATTTAATATAAAATTTATAAAAAAACGTCAAGCGGTACTTGACTGCTTTTTATGCCATGTAGCATTTTTACAATGGAGAAAATATTTTATTGGTAATAGCTAAAAATCTACATATTGTTGAAACAAATCACCTTTTTTTTAAATGATAAAACCAAAACTCATAAAAATGGACTGTTTTCAAAAAAAAAAATTTTTTTTCATTATAATTTTTTGCTTTTGGTCACCCAATATTTATTTATTTTTAAAATATCAATAAGTACCTTCTCAACTCCAAATGTGTAACAAAGCTTTCAGTCGGTGAAAGACAGACAGATTTAAATGTCAAATGTCACTTTTGACCTACATTTTACAATATGTTAGAAACGGAAAGATACATAAAATATGTCTATATTAGGGGGTGAGCTATTTTGAATAAAACAGTTTTTTTTGTTGTCCACAAAAATACAGCCGCCTTGTATATATAGCAATACAATATTCTTCAGGTATAATTTTTATATTTAAGTTTGTTTGACATTTTTACGGATTCTGAGATAAGGTTTAATTCCATAATAAATTGGCTAATCCGTACTACAATAGTCTGCTATTAGACTGTATATGACATTTTCAAAAGGTTTCAGACATCTGTTACAAAAATTTCCGTGTATTTTAGATTGAATATTGTCTTCAAAAAATGGTGTTCTGCCATCTTATAATTAGACTTTTGGCATGTTGACTTACAAGCGAATATTAAGATTGGAAAACAGACATGTAATGATAGATATGTACATGTAGTAAGTACAATTACTTAAAAAAACCAAAGTATATATTGAAGACATTACACATTAGTAAAATTTTTACGATTTTTAACCAGAGTTGCAAATGCTTGTCTTAAAGTGTGTGATTGACAAGGGAGAGCACGAGTTTAGTTACAAATTCTTACGCTATAATTGGGACCGTGTTAAAAGCGGAGTAAAAATATACATCTGTTTAGTAGATAAGCAATGATCATACCCGAACACATTCGGCCGTCACCCCTAAAGCCGGTGTCACATTGACAAGCATAGGTTGTTTGTAAATTGCGGCAGGTAGCGTTAGCATGACAAAAATGGCCTTTGGCGCAGTAGTCGACACCTGTTAATAGAATGGGAAAATGATGGCCGCGCGGAGGAGTTAGTTTGGGTTAATTAAGCGCGGAGAATATTAGTGGGTGGACATACCTATAATGACAATCCATTATTGCAATTACAGTATTTTGTAAAGTTGTTAGTGGAGCTGGAATTACTGATAAATCCACTCCAAAAATAATGGGATGAAATGATTACATTGTTAACAGCAATAAATAAATTGTGGTTAATTAAAAAAAATGAACGTGAAGAGAACAAATATTTTACAACCGTTAGGAAACATTTGTCACCAAGGACATACGTGAAAATGTTAAAACAACGTTACAGTGGAGGCGCATACATTTATTAAGTTCCATTGTTTTTCTTTTTATTCATGTTTTTATCCTTAAAAAAGTTTAATTCACGAGAAAATAATATAATTTGCTTGAAATTAATAATTAATTAAGAGAGGCCAAAGAACAGCTGCCAATAGTATGGTTATCATCCCATTGTATATCTTGACCGCCATATATTTTGTATCCAATTAGTTGTATTTCTTCTAGACATATAAAGGGGAAAGTAGGTGCATAAGATACCACGGCAGTCATCAACTACTATTTCAATTTCACTGACACTTAAACGCGGACGTTGTCAGATATGACCGCCGTGGTACCTCATTTAAAAAAATATATATTATTAGAAAGCATACAAAAACCGAAGCAAAAAGGCTAACATAATACCTGGACAAAATTTGCAGCAGTTGTCAGGTACTGAAAATTGCTCTTCCGGGGGACAATTCAATGCTGGGCAGGTATTTGGGTCTATTGATTTGCACGTCATGGTTCCGTCGGTGCATTCGCATTCCATGCATTTTTGTACGGTCACTAGTTCGCCGTGATCGTACAATTGATTGTTAAAATAACAAACATCTGCGAAGAAAAACTTTATTAGATATTTCGAAAAACGAGAGCTGCAATAACGCTGATCGCAATCACAGAACATTAAGAAAGGCAAAAGAGACAGTCTCTGTATACTTCTCTGTATCATCGAGACAACCTTAGTTCCTTTTGCCTTATTTACATAATAAATTTTTTTCTGAAAATTCTTCAAAGGTCCATGCAGGATTTTAAGCACCTCTAGAATTTAATAAAATGGCATTATAGAGACACATTCGTTTCCTTGTTTTTTAAAATGAAATTTATAATACTAATAAAGGATTCTTATTTATCCAAGAACAGAACTAATCACAGAGATTATTTCAAGTTAACCCTAAGATACAAGATATAAAATAATAACGCAAATATAAAAAAAAACTTTTCAGTATGTTGCGTCGGATGTTTATCAATTACACTTGCTGATGTTTCGCCAATGATCTTGTTGGTTGTTTCTGAGCTTAACCGAAACTGGCTCGCATTTTAGTCTTCGCGAATATACTTATGGAAGCCTTTGAGAAGGAAGCACTGGACATCTAAAACCAAAACCATGAAAACGCTACGTTGATGGTAATTTTGTTATTTGCCCTCATGGTCAAGAATCCCTCCGAGATTTTTCTAGACATTTAAACGCTATACACCCTAATATACGTGTTACAATGGAATTAAAAACTAATAATAATCTCCTATGCTTAGATTTGCTAATCAATAAAAAATCAGACCTAACATTGGGTATTGTATTTACAGAACACCTACGGGCACAGACCGATACCTTAATGGATTGCCACATCATGATCTGGTCCAAAAATCATCGGTTATCAACTTTCTTGTTTACAGAGCCGTAAAACACACATCTGTTCTTCTCTCTAATAATTTCCACATTAGAAATATTAAGCTTTCCATCACAAAATAATCCACACTTGCCAATGACTTCCTTCCTTACACTCAAAACATCACTGACCATATATGGAAAGTTCTTAAGAAATGTAACGTTAAAACCTGATTTACCAATTGTCCAAAAATCACTCATCACTCACAAATTTCCTATGTAGTAATTTTTCAAAGAAACTTCCACAGGCTACTGTAATTCTATATTATACTATACTATACATTTGTAATACAAATAAACTCACCAGCAGTTGCCGAACAGAATCACGAAACCGGACATAAAATTTTATTCGATAAAACTAAAATTCTTGCATGTAATCTCCAACGAAAAATCCGAGAGTCTATAGAAATCTATAAGCAACCAGGTACATAGTAAAATGGCAACCAGTTTCAGTCAATCTCTGAAGAAGCCAACAGGATGATTGGCGAAACGTTAGCTAGTTCGACTCAACAAAAACCGACGCCGGAGGATTCCTACATAGTAGGTTTAATAATTTCAGTGCTTTGTAAGCAGTTCTTTTAGTATCATCATTATGAGTTAAAAGACACAAGTTTATCATAAAAATAGTGAGGTTGTTTTGTGGTAAATGTATGTCAGAATCTAAAGATAATTTTCTTTTATCTTTAGCCATTTTTGAACGCGTATCATGTATTCTGAATCCTTGAGAATTCTTCGCTGTCCTTAAAAAGTAATGCTGGATCATAAAAGGTATTGATTTGCGAAGCGACTATTTTGCATTGAAGCTCGTGACGTCAGTGCTTGGATAAAGTTCCCTTTATGCGAAACTCAGAGTCATGAATTTTTCACTTTACGTTTAATTTTCAAATCAATGCTTATGATAATCTTATTTGGAAATATATATTATATAGGTAACTAATATTATGTTTTTGTATTTTTACATTATTGTAATAGATTTTTCTGTCAATACGATTTATTTTATCGGTGTCCGATAGTTGGGTCACAGAATACCGTGTTGCCTTAAATATCTGATACGCGTTGGATAAATACGTCCAAGCAAATGTAAAAATAATAATCACTTATTAACTGTACAAGACTACATATAGATGTTTGAACCAACCATTTATCAAACCAGTGATTTTTATTCCAATAACTTCAACCCGAAGAACCTGTCTGATAGGTAGCATATTAAATATAAGTCAAATTTTGTTAGCAAAACTGGAGTCGCATGCTTTTCTTGTTATATTATATATATTATATAATATAAGATATAATTATACAGTTATTACAATTATTACATTAGTATCCAAAATTGTGTTTTAACAAATTACGTATTGTTGTACGGCTCGCGACATAGATATTTTAGTTAAAAATAATGAAACTTATTTAAAATAACACATTTAAATTTATTTATTTTTGTTTTATATTAAATAATAATAAGAAGAATAATATACAAATAATATTGACCTTCCATGAAATTTAATAATTTGATAACATTAAAATTTCCGGTAGCCTTCGAGGTATGTCACCAATCGAATTTTATTAAGGTACAGGTTATTTTGAAACATTCATATTGTATCCAATTCCTAATTCCGACGACATGCTCTGAAAGATAGGCAGCGGCATTTTGTTTGGGGGCCGCAGAAATTTCCTACAAAAATAATTCAACAGGACTAGGGACCATTTGGATGGAATCCAAGCCACTTTAGACGGACTTGCTGTTTGATGAGGTAATATTTGTTTATCTGTCGGCGTTTTCACATCCAATTTTAACGAAAGCGACAAACGAGGTTTCAAAAAATCAAAGCTATAAACTAAGTTTGAAAATTGCAATTTTTTGCCAATTTTAAACAATTCACTTACTTAAACAGCTTTCACAACACTGTCCATTTTGTTTTACTGGATGTTTACAGTTCAGTTCCGGACATTCCACTGGGCGACATTGAACTTCGCCATGCTGTAAAGATGAAACCGCATCGAATGAAAGTAATTACTCAAACATCTTGTAGATTTAAAGGAATACTTACTACACACGCACATAAATCACAACCTCTCTGCCAAGTCGATCCGTCGGCATGAACCGATCCATTCACACGGCAAGACTTTTGACAATCACATTCTTCAGCTCTAGTTAGTCTTAATTCTGCTTGAGCGAGCTACAAGAAAATTGGACAATTATTTCCTGCACGAAGATTTCCTCCGTAAAAACACAAGAAATTCGGCAAAAGACTTTTGTCATTTTTACAGTCCACTTACAAAACGAGGTTAAGCAACCAATAAAATTTTCATTAAATTAATGCATACTAGAGTGGTGCATAAACATTTAGCATATTTAAAACCCTTTAAAAGGATAACTAATTATAGCAATAAAATTATATTACGAACTCCGAAAAAATCTTCCATAGTGCTAAGAGGAAAGGTAAAATATATATTAAAATCAACGTATATGTGATTTTAAAAGGCTTTTGGCATATAATTGCTACTGTGATTCTTGATTGAATAATGAGGGAAAAAATTATCATTTAATTTCGCGTACGTTATAAAAGAAAAACTCACCCTACCCTTTTGGAAATCTCTAACAGATGCCGCTGCAACTCCTGAAGGGCTGTCTGTAGTAGGGAAAATTGGCCGCACGTGGGACACGTGGCATCTAAACTAGGACACAGAGCCAAAGCACCGTAGGGGCCCGCAATTAGCCGTACGTCCTGCATGGAGCCCTAAAATCCACCAGAATTTTTTATGCGTCAGAATATTTCGTTAACAATTGACAGAATTAATAACGCCAAATGAGCTATGAATCTTTAAAATTAACGTACAAAAACACATGTTAATGTCACTAGCTCCAACCTTTTTTTAACATTTACCTATGATATGTATGTTAAGCAAGCAAAATATGACATTTAATTTAGGACATTAATGAGATAGTAAGACAAAATAAAATTAAATATTTAATTAATTTTAATTTAAGTACATTTTGCTATATTTGGTGACATTTGTGGGAAAATAAAGCCGGCATTTGATGGGAATATCTTTTATTAATGGGTCTTGGACAATTTCGCGGGGGCTGATGCATCAAAAATAATAATTTCAAATTTCAAAATTGACTTGGTGGCTGTTTCTTTTTCAGTTTTCTACAAAGTTGCCAACTAAAAAAAATGACAAACATGATTTTTATGAAGCCAACTGTTTTTTTATTTTAATAAAATAATTTTCTTTGAAGTTATTTTAAAAACTTTATTACATTTTGTAACCAAATAAAGCTCTAAATAAAGTTTGGCTGACTTTATTACAGTTCAGGGAGTAAAAAATACTATAAAGTAATAAAAAAAATAAATAAGTAAATTAATTAATAACATATGTTCCCATATAATGAGTGGCTCCCATGAGTGGCCACAATATAACTATAATAATATATTTCTAATGACAATTAAAATATAGCAAATGCAATGCTGAAATGTCCCAAACAAACAAAATATTTAAATTTTGATAATTATGTATATATTATACGTTTTATATGTCCAAAAAAATGAAATATGCCCAAGGCCTACTTGGTCAAAGTTGAAAACTTTTATTTTTCCAAACCGACTTGAGCAAAAAAGTGATCTGTATTTTTGGAACGGTAATTTCATCGCTTTGTAATGATCCAATAAAATAAACGGCGTTTGTGCTTTATAAAAAAATCGATTTTTCGTTTTCAATTGAGACATTAAATTTTGCGTAACAAGTTTATAGAGACACAAAATTTTGTGGAGCAAAAAATTTACAGCGATTTTTTAAAAATGCATTATTAAAAAACTTCTTATAACTCGAAAATGGAAACATATATGTGTTTTTTACCATGATCTTTTTTATGGAAATATTTGGGGCAGAAAGCGAAATGTCCGTTTGAAAATGTTTAATTTGGCCCAAACTTATTGTTGTTTACTGGATTAGTATTCCTTATCGTTGCATAAAAACGTAATCGGATAGGTCTCGCTATTATTCCATTTTTTTTAACGTCTGGACCGGAAAATAGGAGGTAAGACCTAAAAATTGCGATTATATCGCTGCCGCTGTCATGATATCTCTGTGTCACGATACCTTGAATTTGGCACGAAATATTTTAAAACCATCAAGCAACTCGCTTGGTAATCCGAAATAATAAAAAAGCTGGCCTTGCAAAGGTTATTTTTATTCAGACAGCTAAAGTGAGTTAAAGATATTATCGAGCAGTTTAAAAGGTTAATAAGTAATTAAGAAAATGTGTTTGAAGGTAAAGGTTTCGACACTTTGTAGCTTTACATAAAAGCGTCATCGATAAACTGGCTGAAGTTTAGAAAGTAAATATTATTATTACATAATAAAATATGTCAGTGTGCACGTCTAGAATTTTCATAAAAACTGTTTTGACAAATTATTTTGAATAATTAATTAAGTAACTTATTTAACAGTAATTGGGAAATTACTGATAAACAACATGGCGTTTCATGTGTAACTATTGAAAATATGCCAAGATAATGAAATTTTTAATAATTATGGCGCTTATTTCAAACATTGAACGACTGTATTGTACCACTATTTACCTGCCACAAATTTAATTACCTTTAAGAATTTCGTGCCCTATTCGAAACAATAACGTTTTGACATTTTTTATGTGTCACGTCAGTATCATTAATTTCAAGTATGTAAAATAAAATTTATTTTTGGTTTTACCTAAACGTCCAACTTACCATCGATCATCAATCACTATATTTAAAACTTAAGTTTGCGCATAGTGTACCAGGGATAGTGAAAATGTTGGATCTTTTTTGGTAAAAAATGACTGCATAAGTTGCTTAAAACTAAACTATAATAAACTGTCTAAACATTTATATATTTGAATCATTTTACCGCAATATAAAAACCGAATCCAACATCTTTATTTTTGGCGTGTATAAAAATAATGAGCGTACTAGTATATACCAGGTGACCCAAGAAGGTCAAAAAATAAGCTCATAGGAAGGAAGAAATTTGATCAGTAAATAGAGTTGAAAATATTTTGGGTACATATTCTCACTATTGTCCTCTGAAGAAAATAGGTTAGCCTAGAAAATTATTGTTTCATTCAAATTCAAAATTTCATTTGGATTCTTTTCCATAACAGTCAGCCAGATAAATATTATTTATTGTGTTAACAACAGCTAAGATCGAATTTGTTTTCAAAGAATAGAATGAAAGACACTTCAAATCCTTCTACAGGTTAAAATCTTTTAAATTCGATCAAGTAAGTACCTTGAAGAAAAAATGCCTGTTCCTCTGACCCAGCCAGATCTCTTGAGGAGCGCTTATATTTCTGTCGGGAGCGCCAGGTCGCAAGAGGCGCTTATACAACGGATGGCAGTCCACCAGCAGTTCCGCTTGGGAGCCACTAACGCTGACAGCCACGTGGTGCCACAGGTTATCGGCTAAGCGGTAAGGAAACGTCTCGACGTACGGCCTACCATCCACACGTGACGTATAGTGCAATCGGACTTCATTTTTGCGACCACTCGATTGAACCTGAAAATTAAAAGTTCAAATTCGGAGAATCATGGAAAACGCGTGGGTTGCTTTCAGATGTTAGTAGAAATATATACCTGCGACAACTTTATTTTTTAGTTATTGGCACAAATAAGTATTAAGAAATTCCGAAAACAAACAAATCAATATCCCACTGCAGTCAGGCGTGGATTTCCACATATTTGGACAAAATATCGGCTCTTTAAACTATCAAATCAAAATTAATTATTAATATTAATAAATAATAAATACTTTCAAATTTCTAGTAACTAAATAACTCGTACGTAGCTAATTTTGAAGAAAATGCTAAATTTTTATTTTAAAAATAAATAGCTGATCAATGCTAATTAAAAGTCGCTTTTCAGGTGAAGTTTCGACAGCCATGTTCAAATATTATTGCCCCCGCTTACCGATGTGATTTATAAATGTTAAAGTATTTTAATTTTTAAAAAGGATTTGTAAAAGGTATAACAATTTAACGTCCTGTTCTTTTTAAGCTAAATTTACAAACTAACCAAAATTAAGACTTTAAGGTACTCAATTTATATTTTTGAAAGTTGGTACGCCATCTTCTTTACAAGTTTCATTTCTTTTCCAAATTAAAAAATTTTTTTCAATATATTTTGCATTTTTAGAGAGACAAAGAAATAAATATTGTTGGACGTCCCTCCCTCGCCCTCTCCGAATCTCTGTCCATAAAAATAATGAAACAAATCTACGAAGTTTAATTAAATTTGTTCATCTGTTTTTTAATGTTTTACCCTTGTATAAAAATAAAGATTTTAGTTATGGTTACTATCACTCCCTACTGTCAAAGCTGGTGTTTCCATGAGGTTATGTGAGGATATACAAAACCCAACACCCAAATTTTTAAGATACACCATTTTTATGTAGCCATGATTTAGAGATAATTTTGACTTAACGCGATTACAATTGTAAGTTCAGTGCCGCCCGAGGAGGTGTCTTGAATGTTTTGAAATTTTATTATTTTCTTTGAATAAGACGCAGAGTACAACTTTCTTGACAGTTTTAATTCTATTTTGTCTCTTTGTCAAGCAACAAAAAAAAGAAAATTGAGAAAATGCACTCTATGATATTGAAATAAGTTCCAAAAAATTGACACAAAAAAATGATAAAATAGACTAACATAATCTTCAATGACAAGGATTTTCACACTAATGTTGTTTTTCTAATATTCAAGACCTCGTACCTTGTTGTTTGAACACCCTAAATATGCATTTGGTATTTTTTATAAAGCACTGTACACCTAGTTTCTTAATGCGAGAGAGTAATAAAATATAAATGTAAATGGGGTGGACAACTTAAAGATTATATAGTAAAGTTCAGATAAATTATAGTGATGGTTTTGGCGAACGAAAATAATGCGAGAGATACACAAATACACAAAAAAACATATCACTAAAAATAGATAAAAACTTATATAGAAGTCAGAATTTTAATAAACAGTACTATTTAAAAAACTACTATTTACAATACAATTTCATTTATAAATTTAAATCATTATGTTCTGGAGGTAGTCAGATGAACTATTGTCGTTAGAGTCCAATTAAGAAACAAAGGATATATTAATCCTGGGTTAGAAAATATTCGTTTCATTTGCAAGATAGAATGAAAATTGTTAAAGTCGATCATGTCTTTTATTCGTCAACAGCTGAAGAATTAAATCAAATCTTTTTTGATTTATGTTGCAAAATGAGTATTACATGGATATGGTAATTTGTCCATCCCAGTAATATTATTTTGTCAGAACGTCAAACAAATTAAATAAATATTTAGTGCAATCAAGCAAGTAATTGTTTGAGATAATAAAACAGCTAAAAGATACAAATTTCTAAACTATATTTTCTTTTCTCAACAAACAACATAAAAATATTTTGCTTAAATAACTAATGTATCAATCTATCTAATTAACATTTTCCCTCCGTGCAGCAAAATGTTTACGTTTCTTGAAATTTGGGACAAAATTAATCGAGTCGTTAATTTGTTTACCTCGAGAAATCTTGCGGGACCCCTAGAGACGCTAAAAATGGTGCCCGTGTTATTTTCTTCTTGGCGCAGCCACGCGGACACCGTGAATTCAGAGCTGCGCCTCAGTAAATCGGCCGCCTGTCGGAATGCTGATGACGACAATTTTAGGTCCCTCCGAGAGTCATCTACAACAAAACAGAATGTTACGGGCGTCCACCAAAATGTCGTTAACGTTTAACGACCGAATATGATTCACGTTTAGTGTCCCATTAGAAGTTCTGTGGAACGAAATCGTTTTTTTTTTTTAATTTGTTATATGGTCATAGTGCGCTATGAGAGCAATTTTTAATGCATTCAAATCTAAAGAAACAGTTGCCGATGAGTATATGTACAGGGTGCCCCTTTAAGACATTATCTCGAAACCTATGGGGGTTACAAAAAAAAAATTAAATACCAAAGTTGTTTCTATTAAAATTACCTTTATTTTTTTATTTTACTAATAGGCACTTTTTTTATAAACAGAGTGGTAAAACAAAGTTACATTTTTTTAAATAGAACAACCCTACATTTAATTGAAATCTTTGAATAGTCCTTTCACGATATATATGAGTATCGGTTTGTGATGCACAATCGAGCGACAATCTTCTGAATTCGGGTTATGTTTAAACCATCATTGTTGGGTTGCTTAACTTTTTAAACTTTTTTCCATCTATTATTCTTACTTGAATAGCAATTTCAATTAACATAAGTAACATAGTACGGGTCCCTGACTTACCGTTTTGGCTATATTGACAATTATTTTCCAATAATGCATTAATTCTTTTACATTCGTAATTTAAGAATCTTGTAAATAAAGTTCTTAAATGGAAAAAAACTTCCAAAAATGCAATAAGATGTTCTATTTCAAAAAATGTAACTTTGTTTTACCACACTTTATATAAACAATTGACGATTAGGAAAATAGAAAAAATAAAGGTCATTTTAATAGAAACAACTTTGATGTTTTTTTTTGCAACCCCCGTAATTAATTTTTTTGAAGAAAATATATTCGGCATCGGATAACAGTCATAGCCAAATAATTTTTGAGAAAAATAATTAAGCCAATTTTGAATTTCTGGATTTGTTACATATATAATATGTGGCGTTAACTAATAATAAATATTATTTGGCACGTATTTGAATTAATACAATAAAAGAAAAAACAACAGTTTATTGCATTTGACGCATATCAGTTGGACCATTTCAAGGAACACGGAACTAGGCGTTGAAATCGCTTATACTTTTTTAAACGGGATAAAACAAATAAGACTAATAGTTTGGTTGCCTAGTAATTCCAATTCAGGAGGAAAAGCGTTATCGAACGATATGCCAAATTCCAATGTTAGTACTCACAAAAATGGAGTTTCTGAGCAAACATGGCATAACATAATACCCCATGGAACAGTGAAGAATATTACTACACAAAATGAAAATATTTAAAAAAATGAGCGGGCTCTTCGTTCAATTATCAACCAGGATTTTAGACATACGTCTACAGAGAAAGCTGTAAAATGGTCACATGAGATCAGTTTCCAAAGATACTCATTAGAGAAGATTGCTTAAGAAGCTCAGAAAAGAGAGAAGTCTCAGAAAAGAGGGTTAAGGTAGTAAATAGGGCGTAAGGGGATAGGTATGCATATTGGACGTCTACTTTTGATTAGTGGCGCCATTAGTTCTGCAAGTCCAAATTAATTTTATAAGAACAATTGCTGCCATTTATTGAAGGAATACAACTACCAAAGAGAAGATTCAATTGCAACAGGATGCGCGGCAAGCCATACTCTCCAAGCCGTCTCAAGCCATAGTTGAAGAAATCAATATTCCTGTTTTAAAATTGTCTTTAAATGGCCCGGACTTGTCCCCTATTGACAGCTTATGGCACCCTAAAAAAAGAAATTCGAACCTCTCCAGGCGACACTATTCCAGAATTAAGGCAAGAACTTAATGAAATTTGCAATCGTTTTCATCCAGAATACTGTAAAGCATTATTGAACATGCCAAAGAAAATCGATGCATTTTTTAAGCAATGATAACTGTAACTGTAATTGAAACTAACAACGAATATTGTTGATTAGTAGCCAATATCATAAAGCAGCAAATTATTTTGCTTGGCTTTGTTAGAGTTATTTCAAATAAATACGTTTAGTTTAGGAAGACAATAAGGTGTTAATATTCCTTCGTACGTCAAAAGAGCAATGGAACCTTATTACAAAGATGGTTTCTACCACAAATTTAAAAAAAAATTGAATTTTTATATTGACTTTTGGTATCATTTTGAAATAGCACCGAATCTTGAAAAAAGTAGTGTCATACCACTTAAAAATCTTTCTGTATCTAGTACAGTAATGAAAAAATCATTATTGCGAAAATTGTGGTTTTTAAGATTATAATTACGTTTTGCTTAAGCCTGAATTTAGTATGAATAATTATTTTTTTAAGTTTTATTTGAAACACTAAGGATTGGTGACCTATACGATATTATTATCTGAATAGAATTTTGCTAATTGTTGCGTACGGATTAAGTCAAACAGTAATTTTTGAATCAAAGTCTCAATTACTCTGTGTATTGATGCCCCTAGCTATTAAATCAAGGCTCTAAAAATAATTGAAAATAAAGTGACATTTTTAAAATATGCAATTGATATTTGAAATATACAGTAAAATACAAAATAAAATGCCAGTACGAATAACAACGGTATGCGGTTCATGTCGATCCTTTGAATCTATGTAGCAAATAAACGCTGTAAAATTATATTTTACGCGCAAATATTGCCTGAAATGTTGCTTTATTTCATTCAAATACGCTTGAAAAATACTAAAAGGTGAACATATTGAAATAACAGAGGAGAATTATTTGCATGCGACTTGCCACGTTAATAAGCTAAATCGTCGCACGCCAGCAAACAATTCCATTCGCATCATGTGAAACGTTCGATCAATTGGTTTTGGGTTCAAAAGTCAATCAATATTGGCAATGACACCGGTCGAACGGTTTTTATTTATATCATACGGGACCGTGAAGGCCCTTTTAGTGATGCATTGATTGAAAGCTCAGAAACTGCAAAAAATGGTTAAATGAGCCAAGTTTTTGGTGTCAATTTACAGGTTTATATTTCACATATTTTTTAAAAAATGGAAAAGTTGGAATCTTTTCGCTGATTTTGGACAAAATCATTTCTCTCATAAGGATCTTCTTATATAATGGTACAACAACAATTTTGTTAAATCAAACCTTTTTTTTTCTTTTTAGTTATTTGCAGCTAATGTACCTAGACACAATTAATAATGCGTCAAGTTTATTTAATTAACAAAACGGGTTACTCTCAAAAATTGCGAATAAGAATACGGATTTTTATGAAAATAATTTTTAAAGTTTTTAAGTTATTAAGTTATTAATGAAAATAAATTATTTTCATTTTAAGGATACAAGAAAAGGATAAAATTTTTTTTGATTGTTCGATCTAAAACAACAATTAAATTTTCGAAAAATGAGTAACGGACCATGATTTTACCTATCTGGCTAAAAAATAGCCCCTAATATCTTTCTACTAAAATCTGAAACACCATTAATTATCACCATTATTTTTGTGCACCATCAACTTATCATTCTTATGGATGTCATACTAGAAGTTCTATATGCCAAGTATTATTTATTAATTCACAAGAATAACGTAAAAAATTACTAATAATGAAGATAACGCAATTTTTTATCAATGGAATCGCGAAAGATGTTTTAGTAGCTATGGGATCTTTATTGAAGATACTGAGCTATAGAGATTGCAAGTTGAATTTCTTGCGTGGCATTTAGAGTATGTTATGCTATCATAAAATCATACGCTAACTGGTAACAATAAATTGTAGACACAAATATAGAGAACGCCATTCAACATTCAACATTTTGAATGAAATAACATATACTTAAAGCTAAAAAGTTAAATCTCAATTAAAGAAGAATATTTTGTTTGAATGTAATCGTAAAGGAATAGCTTGAAGAAAATGTTCAGAATATATTTCAAAAAAGAAAAACGTATCTGATTTGAAAATGAGATAGATATTCGGCATTAAAAAAGTAGTTTAAATAAAAGTAGGTCCAGAAATGCTAAGTTTCTAAGATTGGGGGAGCTATAGAGGTATTCAGTACTGACTTTTTTGCAATTTCTTGAGTTAGTTTCGTATTGGCAAAATGTATTTCGACGAACATTTAGTTTAGCACGTTAGTAGCAAGTTGGTCTCTGTCTTCGGCCATTTTAAATAGCTAGTCTGCACTGCATATTGGGGACCTGTTTCCTTTATACTCACCTACGACCCTCTGTTTTGTGTTTCATAATAGGTTGAAGGATATATTAAAGTTCACCGCAGAGGACATATCCCAGATATAACAGTTTATGATATTTAACAGTTGTAAAGAGTTCTCGAACCTCGTTTGCTCAAAACTTATGATATTCGTATTGGTCTATGCAACCACATTTCAAAAGCCTCCAGAAGAATCAGATTTAGCTTATCATTCCAAAAGAGTGATTTCATGTTCTGAAATGCGCATCAGTCGTACATTTTATTTCGTTATTTGGGTCGAGTTGTTCAGTCATGTAGCATCCATACCTAAAGTATCTAATACCTAAATTAAATAAATTACAATAAATTTAGTTTAAAAAAATAAGGTTAAAGGAAATGAATTTTCGCATAAATCGTTTCATTTAAAATTTACTTAACATCCCGCACCATGGAAGCTAAGGATTTCCGGATCTACGTTCAAATCAACTTGTTTTATATTTTTTTATGGCGAATTTGCAGCCAATAAAAAACATATAAATGAGTTAGCAGGTATAGTACATAAACAATAATTTGAAAACAACCAACCCCATTCAACCATCGTCTGGCCACCGCAAAGCACGGACATAAAATCTGTACGTGGCAAAGGAGAAGCTGATAATGAGAATGACGTTAATAATTAAACGTTAATTAATTAAAACTGAAATAACTTTATCTAATTCGCTAATTGCGTAATGGACTTATTCTACATTCGATAATTGCAATTCCCCATCTGAAGTTTCATATAGCCGCCGCAAAGGGGATCTCCACTCCTTTTTGTCGATATTTACACATAAAACCATTTTATCGCTTATACAAACTTAAGTAAATGCATTTCCGACTATATTTCTCGGCTCTGACACTTTGGCTCGGCATTAAATTTTACTAGACACTTGCAACCATGATGTCGTAAACTTTACGATGAATTACAATAGTCAGGGAGAAACTGCCTTGCATTCTGTCTTATGTGGTGAAATGTATAGCCTTTATGCGTATATAAATCCAAATATTCCGAAGAATGGGAATCAACAACAAGGTTATTAATGAATTTAAATTGTTATCTTTCCGATATATCACATTAAATTTACTACTTACAAATTCAACAAATTACAAATTGATTACGTACTTTGCTACGTAATCAATTTGAACATATAATACTTGTAATAAAACTGCAAAGGTATTTTTATAGAAAAATTTGCGATTTGTTACTCCGAAGGTTTCAAAATCTGCAAAAGTGTTCTTCTACAAAAAAAACTGTTATTATTAAAAAAAATGATGGCTAGGATCTTCTCTTCTTAAATTGGCAAATAGTTTAAAACTGCCACAGTGCCCACAACACAATAAGTTGAAAGATCACCATAACTGAGTCTCAAACATTTCGTAAGCAGTCGACACTGCATCTAAAATTAAAGAATGATTGAGTTTTGTTCATACAGCGACATACATGTATGCACGTTGGTGTCTGCAAGTTGATGAATTATTCAATTTGAAACAGAAAACTTGTGCGATGCACATATTTGTCAAATTTTACCAGCACACTATAAACGCACAAGGATGGATGACATTGACGCTGATTTGTGGCTGCTTGAAAGCGCATATCAAACTACCTTTAACCCGTATGGTGCAGTTTTTCTTTATTGACAGTTTTTATAATTAACCAGAGCATTAATATACTTTTAATAAAATTATGGGTCACTTCGATTTCTATGCTTTGTTCGTCTCTGTGCTTCCGGATTAATCCTAAATTTTACAAAAGGCTAGAACTCTAAATGTGCAGTAACTGTAATCCTAGGTACATTCACTAAAAATAACCGGAACATATAACATATAAATATTTTATTTACAGGTGTTCGGCAACTGCTGATGAGTTTATTTTTTTTATATATTATTTAATGTCTTAAAGCTGTTTCATTGTCTTCTCCTGTTTCTCCAAAATGTTGCTAGCAGCATGTACGGAATTCCGTAAACTTTTGGTATCTGAAACGGAATTTTGCTTTTGACAGATAGGACAAATTTGACGAAAAACTTTATGGTTTCAAATCGAATTTTATCAGCTGTTTGAAATTGCAATTTGTTTAGGATAGACTCTACATTTGAAACTTTTTGAAAGATCTTTTTTTCTCTTAGAAACACACCGCAGTGTTTTTTTTTTGTTTGTGAATAAAGTTAAGTTCTTAAAAAGCCAACAGGATGGTTGGTGAAATGTCAGCAAACTGGATTTATCAAGAACCGTAGCAGGAGGAATCTAGAAGCTTTGTAAATAGACACATTTTTTCTGCGATTTTCTAATTTTCCCCTGTCTAAACAGCTGACTAAAAGAAATCGCGCAAATTAAAGAAATACAAGCCCAGAAGGTAGTATTCTTTATCATTTGTAACTACGGTTAGGTAGGTATACTGTAAACTAGAAATGTTTATTTCAAATTGGTATGTCAACCTGTACAAAAAAAAATTCAAAAAAGAAAACATTTAAAGTTATTACAATCTAAACGACATCTTTAAAGTTTGGTTTTAACTGGCACACCAAAAAGTTCAGCCTTAAGTCACGTTCAAAATATTCTGTAAAATCAAGATTTGTTAAACTTCTTCATGTTTAGAGAATGGATAAAGTGATATTTTTTTACAGATTTACACTCTCTCAACATTTTTGTTATGCGCGGTACCTTTGCCCGTACTTCCCGATCTTAAATAACACCATCGTCGTGCAAATTAAAAAAAATACACTATGGGTCGAATGAAGACAGGAGTAAACAATTTACCTTGTAAGTAATAGGCCGGTTTTAGTTGTTGAGGCCCAGGAGCTAACGTCACTCCCACCCACGTGCTGTTAGGCAGGCCCAGAGCTGCTAAAAGATCTATGGACTGATCCGGAGGTGAAGTTGTCAAAATAGCCCCCGGGTCAAACCCCGTTGCTGCAACAAATGGTGCTGGTTAGTTAAGTAAATACAATAATTAACTTGTTCAGTATAAATGGCACTAAATCGGCCAATATAGTTCAATCGGCATTAATGACTGGTTAATAATGTAGTTTTGATGAAGTTTCAGTACCATAAAGCAGTGAAACTGGCTGGCCTTCTTATACAATAAGCAAGCATTCTACCTGGACAATTTTTCAGTGTACTAAAAATGGAATGTTTGAATTTAAGAAAAGGAGAGTTTTAGCGATTTTTTCTTTTTGATAATGTCAGTGTTTGATCACCTAATAGCTATTTACTTTAAAGATATCAACACAGGCCTCAGACCTCCAAAGTAGATTCCCATCTATAAGGAAATGAACCCCAAATGTATATCAAAGAGTTTACAGTCGGAGGAATCGTTAGATATATTTAGAACTGCAAACGTCACTTTTGAGGTGAAATTCAAAATCTCAGAAATGATAAGACCATTTAAAAGAAAACAAAAACTTACTTGTCCACAAAAAAAACTTAATGTTTATAAAACAATTATAAGTGAAATCCAAACACCTTCGGGCTTTAAATTCTGCTTAAACCAGTTAAACTAGTTTAAAGTAGGTGTATATCTGCAGCTGAAACCTATCAACTTTTCGCCAAAACTTGTAATTGCTTGCGACTGATCCAACAAAATATAACCTAAATTATACGAAAACTTTACGAACCATTCGCGGCAAAAAAATATTTCTCGGGCATTATATACGATGTGTAACATTTCTGGTGATTTTTAATAAAGCTAGGAATGGACACATAAGCAGGAATATCATAACTTGTGTTGGCTTTTGAGATACATGGTTATTTTACGAAATTTTTCATGGATTTGAATGGAACGTCCAGTATGTATCGTAATTACTCTCCTAGATTTAAAAAAAGTAATTCATATACCTTTAATTTTTAATGTTTTTTATGTGTGCGCCCTTTTTCATAATATACTTCAATTTCTGTCTTCTCTAATGCTATGACTCATGTTCACTCAAAAATGACAATTATAAAAAATTGGACAAAATGGAGGTGTATAATTTGAAAATTAAAAGAACATTTTAGCAAATGAATTCTCACACCTTTAAGTTATTTTCTTTCTTTCTTTATTTATTTTTTTACTTCTTTTGGATAAGAGGTTGATATTCCGTATCTGGTGTGTCCATTAAGATGGACGCGCTTTGTCACAACAGTGCCAATGTTAGGAATTACTTAAATATGCAGTTTCAAAATCAATGGATTAGTAACAATGAACTAATTAACTGACCAGCAAGGTTTCCAGACCTCCACCTTATGGACTTTGGTCAAATTTTTTTGCAGTATGAGTGGAAAACATTATAACGTAATATCCACGCGCATGTTGATAGTAATGGACAATAATAAATGTAATATTTTTTTAATTATTCCTCTTTAAATTGGCCATCGGCACTTCGAAATTTCGGCGTTTTTTCCACCACGAATGTTTTTTATCAAAATCTCGAAATTGTAACTGTAATAGCTAAAAACGAGACTTTTTATGATTTTTCAAAAGACAAAGTTTTTTTGGTTCTAAATGGTTTAGTGTTATAAAATTTGTTTTCCCCATTTAGAATGAAATAAATTATTTGTACTCATAGAAAAATATAATTAAAGATTTTGTATGGGTTATATATTTTTGAGAAGCAAGCAAGCTAGCAAGGCTAGTCAAATTATAAGCTTATATATTAAAATTTTAAGAAGAAATTATAGTACGTCTGACAGACAAGTTTACAATTTTTAAATAATAAATTAAATCGAACATAAAAATGATAATCCTGTTTATGCCAATATGCATTTCATGAAAAAGACCCCTAAATCATCAAACATCCAAATTGCGACACAACGTCCAATCTAAAAAAATGGGTAATACCGCAGCACTGCACAAAAGTGCTTTAAGGGACAGTATCAGTCGGGCCCTTCGTAGTTACGAATGTTTGCCGATACCGATGCCGATTCCACCAGACGTGTGCGATTCTGCCGAAACCACAAAGGGGGGCAATCAATGCTTGGGTTTCAAGCGGCGCGTCTTGGGGTGCCTTTAAGATGCGGAAATCAATAGCGTACGGCCGTACACTCTCTCAACATTCCTATTGTGTCCTACTTGTGTAGTCTTTAATCTAGGCGAACGATACTCCCCGATAAAGCGAAAAGCGAACAAACGAGACACGGTCATCAGCGTTTTTTCGTGAAAACACATTCAGGTCCCTTAAGATCCCTTGAGGAAGGCATAGAGTATAATTTGCACCCAGGAAATTCTCGCGACTGTTTGGTTAACGTTGACTCATATTTCCTTTTAAAATGTTGGTATTTTCTATTTCGTTGAAGTCTAAAGGTGGGGTCATTGAACCCTAATTACCTACTATGGAAAAACAACCTTTTATCCAGACTAAATTGAAACTTGCCCAATTATATAATGAAATATCAACAAATTAAAAATTAAGGCCTAATATTTAGTTTTGTGAAACATCCAGCTTTTTATCATATTTCCTCGGTAAGAGTAGAATTTTAGATGATTTCCACAAATCTGGAAAATTACATGTTAAAAAGGGTCGTTAGAGGTCTTGCAAAAACTTGCACACAATCATACACTTTAGATAAAAGTTACTCAGAAAACTATCAGAAGATGGAAAGAAATAAAAATACCAATTTAACAAATTTGATATAATTCTTGTAAAACTTAACATTTACTAAACATGAAATATTTGCAGTTTAAGATTTAATCATCTGAAGAGGTCTGAAATATTTTTCAGTTGGGAAAATCATCAAATCATATTTTTTGTTTTGAAAATGATGTACAAGACTATTTTATATCTAGATTGGTAATAATAAAAAAATACGTTAGGAGGTTACTTTTCTTCTGGGTTTTGTTTCTATGGGATCGTTTCCTGTATCGTGGGGTTATGTCGTACATAATGGTCGATTTAACACCCCATTCTATGATGACGTTTATCAAACTTGTTGATTGATATTGTCCATTTTGACAAGTAATTAATCAATTATATCACATCATTTAGAACTAAATAATTTTCCTTTCATTTAAACCAAATTAAATGAACATCTCTACCTAACATCATGTCCTGATTTGGGCAGAAACTTTTTCTACTCAATTTAGATTTCAAGATTCCAAGTAAAGATCGGAGTCAAAGCCACCCATTTTAACGCAAATACCATCAAACCAGCAGATCTTAACTTAAAACCTCTCTTTCTACGTCCAATAGCGTTTTATCGACTTCAATCAGATGTCACTCAAAATCAAGTTTTCCTCCACTAGATGTCAATTTAAAACATCATTTTCTGGTCTTAACGGGAGTTTCTTCTAGTCTAGTCTAGACACTGATTGTGTGGTCTTAGAAAGGTAAAATCACTTACTTCAAGAAACAATTTTTTTCTTATGTGTTTGCAAATTATTTCAGAATATGCCCGCCTTGTGGGTTTTTCTGACTCAAACTAGACCACGTATTGATCCTAAAACTAAAAATAACATAAAAACGAATTTAAGAAGCGAATTTTATTATACGCGTTCTACTTCGAATTTGGCTGGATAATCGATACCCTGTATTTTAGACCGTATACACGCCATTAGTGAAATATTAATTTGTTGGGATAGGGAATTAGTTAGTGGCTTGTACCGACCATCTCAATTATTAAACGAATGCTGTTATTCCAGTTTTTAGTTCTTTTTTATCCAACTAACTAACGCTTTTTGTCAAGAAACAATTTTTTTTCTATACGTATACGAAAGCCCTTTCATAAGTCTAGGTTAAATTGGTATAAAACTGCACGAAGGGTGCATAATTTTGTGTCCATACCTTCTTCATAGCACAATAAAACTCCGGAAAGTTTTCCCTCAAAATGTTCTAATGCTAAAAGGATTTCCAGGCGCAATATACTGGCGGTTACCGGTTTCAGCACGCAATATTCTGCAGCTATGCAAAGGTTAATGATTCCATTCACCGCGTGTCGTATAATTATTTTCCTCCTAAAAATGATTTCTAGCCCTGTTTTGGAGACATATTCTCAAACTGTATTCTTGCTAAAGTGGTGGAAGCGCAAACTTTTAATTAAAAAAAAATCAACAGACTGTTCTAAATTTCGGTTTTATTAATGGGATTTCATTTCTTGCAACCTTTAGAGAAATGTCGAAAATATTTCATGTACTATTAAACTGTCAAAGAGCAAATTTCCCATCAGAAAAATATTATTAGCTATTCGAATTATTAAATTGTTGGACTACAGACATTCATTGTTCAGAAAGTTTTAAGTTTAACTTCAGATGTTTATTTTTGAGGACTGCTAATAGCCATCAATACATACTTAACCCTAAAACAGTGGTAACGTTTTCGATATTAATAGTCGTTACTAGAAACATGTTGCGAGGGCTTCAAGGCCTAAGTCACATTAGGATATGATAAAATTCCGGAATTTTTCTTACGTGACGGTGCGCATATTTTGGAAAACCATTAAAACATTTGTTTTTAATGTGGCACTTAAAAAATTTGTGACAAAACACCTCATTGAAAGTTACAGGTCCATAACAACCATTAACAATTTTTTTCAGCGTTTTTAGAGGGTACTTGACTCAGGCCATATTTCATCTTTTGGAAAAGACCATTTTTATCTCTGATTCTATTATTGCAAAAATTATTTAGTCCTTCGACCATGTGGACTATAATATTCTGCTGGGAATCATTTAATAAATTTACCAATTCCTTTATATCATATTAATCACGAATGACTTCAGGAGTTCTACAACGCTTAGCCTTGAGTCTCTTATTTCTAAATATATTTAGTGACATCACAAACTGGCGATGTAAAACTCTACTGCAGAATAAACAATAATACGGATTGCTTGAAACTTCACTGTAGCCCTTCAATGCAGGTTAACCTTATAGGCAAGTTGGTGATGATGATGTGATACTGCCCAGATGAACTGAGTTTAAAGATTTGGAAATTTGACATTGTCA